TGTTGTGTTACTAGGCTTTAACATGCGGGCAGTGAGCCAGCTTAAGCATGACATGAGCTTTGACGCCAACTGTCTGTTTAAAGTCAACGACGATGAAAAAAGCGGATTCTCTAGGACCTCAAAATTTAGGCTGAAGTCTCCTGTTGGTTTCTCTGCAGACTTAAAGGGGGAAAAGCAGCCATTAAACACTGGACAAAGTAGTCAAAGCAACTGTGCCTTCAAGCCATGCCCCGGATCATCCTCAGAACCTATTGCCATTGACTCTGACAGTGATTCAGAGCCAGAAGTGATGCTTACTGAAAATCTAAATCAACAAACTGCGGTGTTAAGGCCTTCGGTAGTTCAGTCCCAGACAAAAGGGACATTGCTGCGAGAGCGCTTCCGTTGCGAAAGAGCTGTCAGGGGGAGCAGAAGTTCTCCCAGAGTTGGGCCAAAAAGTCTAGATGGCTCTGTTTCTGGTTCTAGTCCTGACGAAGCTACCTGGTCAGGCAGCATGTCTTCTGAAGAGACCCACTACAGACCAGCCGGGCGATTCGAAGTGAAAGGGAAGAAGGTGGGGTTGCTTGGTAGATGATGGCTTGTGGTGATGGTCCCCTTTCTCTCTAACTCTCCAGGCCCAGATCTGTAGGTCAGAGCTTTTACCTCACATTTGGGTGACAGTTTAACGTTATGATGTGAACGAATATGAGTTGTAACATGTAAAGCCGGAGGAGTTACACACTTTTACTGAAAGTACTGTTTACTCTTAAACAATTCTGCTGTCAAAGAGCGGAAAACTATTATACTGTATCCTTTTTTTCCCAACCGACCCGTTGTCTTTGGAGTTTTTTCTTTTTCTTTTTTTGTATACTGTTCTCTGTATTTAATCACACTTGTTGGAATTGTAACAAAATTGATAGGTCTATTGTTTTTTCCTGATCAAATAAAAGGACCGTGTAATTTACAATCAAGTGCTTCAATGTTTTCTTGTTGTTGTAAAATATGCTGAATTAAATTCTATTCCTAACAAAAAGCAAAAAATTCCCTTTGAGGCAAATATCTGATTTCGAATCTTTTCAGTAGAACCTGTTTTGTCATGTACATTTTAGTTAGTTTACTTGGTTTTAATACTATTGTAATAGGTAGACCACTATTTCAGTGCAATGTGAAGCAGGTGCTGGAATATTTATTTGAACTTCAGAGCATTTGGTTGTGCTAAATGTTTCCTATTGGAATCACTCAATAAAGGTAACTCGTCCGATTATTACACATTAGTATTATCTCAACAAATAAACAACATCTTTCCTTTTATAGTCATTTTTTAAATTCTTGCCAAGTAACTTAACAGTTGACATCTATCTTGACTATTGTATTGACACCACACTGCCCTTAGAGGTCACTGTCTATAAGATCACTGTCATTCAATAATACAGATTTTAATTTACATAACACCTTCATGGCTGCTGCATTTTGCCAATTCAGCAGTCCTAAAACCTGTTGGTCATGTTAGCTTGACTAATGTCAGTGTGGAAAAAACAGTCTTTGCACAGACTCTTATTACATCATTAGTATGATTTATTTTTGCGAAATATGCCAAATTTGCACTGTGCTGTTTCGTTCATAAGGGTATACATTTGAATGTATTGGGTGTCTGCATGTTGCAGTTTGTTCTCTGAAAATGTGGAAAATGCGCTGATTCAGTAGACATTTGATAAAAGATTTAGGAGTGGACATGTATCATATGTGGTTCGTATTAGCAAGTATTTGTGAGGGAAGAGAGACTGAGACAGAAGGATTGTAACGGATGTTGTTTTGAATTTGCTCTGCTGGTCCTGTGGTTGCTAATCTCTTGCAGTCATTTGTCACCATTTCCCCAATACATGGCTGGCCGTCCCAGCAGATAAACTCAGTGAGGACAAAAAAGAAAAAATAGATACCCACCTGCCACTCAGAATTTGCTTGTTTAACGTTTCAAACAGGGACAAACCATATATCTGTTAAGGTTGTCTTTTATTTATCAAGCCCTTGATATTTGTGCATAGATGTTTTTAGGATCTAAAGCTGTAGTAACTGTCATTACAAAAAGGCTGAGATAAGACAGATTTATTATTTAGTTTACAAATATGAGTAGTGTTAATATTTAAGATTGAACTATTAGTTCATGTAAGCCTTTGCAAATTAAGAATTTTCTGAAAGCATTTCTGAATGAGTCAGCTAGGGTTCATGATTAGTTGACATCCACAGATGTTCATGGTTCCACTTGAGATGTGATCTGTTCTTCACTTTTTCACATGATTAATGATCAATCATGCAATGATTTGACCTCAGCATATGCAACTATGCAAATAACCATGTATTTCTGGAATTGCTCCATCCTCCATGAGGTATACTAGTTTATTTTAAGGCCTTGCTGAGGAACAAAAATTGCAGGTGCTTGAGTTGCTTTTACATTTTTCTTATGAGTTTCAAAAAATCTAGTCTTCAAAACCCAACTACTTTGTTAAAGCCAAACCGTTCAATGTGTATTAAATTAAAGGGATAGTTCACTTTAAAATTAATTTTTGGTATGTTTTAGCTTACCTCAAGGGCATCCAAGATGTAGGTGTCTTTGTTTCCGCAGTAGTTTCAATTTTGATATTTTTAGGTCAAACCGTTCTTGTCTGTCAGTCATATAATGCAGGTCTATGGTAACTTCCTCAAAGAGCACGCACAGAGAAGTCCAAATTAAACATGATTTAATGACTCGTAAATGTAAGTACACATTGATGGCCTAAGACACGAAACGAGCGGTTTGTGTGAGAAAACGAACAGTATTTATATCGTTTTTACCTCTTGTAAACACAGCCACGTCCAAGTGATCTGAGGGCGCGTGCGCTTCGGTCTGCGCAAGCGCCGGAAGTGATCTCTCGCGCGTGTACGTCACTCATTGTTTACACAGAGATTTCACTGTGAAGATCTAAACATATTAAGATATACAGGAAATCGCAATGGAAGACGATTTCGATATATCAACAGACAACGTTGAATTTTTTTTGTTTTTTTTTTGTAAGAGATCACTTCCGGCGCTTGCGCAGACCGAAGCGCCCGCGCCCTCAGATCACTTGGACGTGGCTGTGTTTACAAGAGGTAAAAACGATATAAATACTGTTCGTTTTCTCACACAAACCGCTCGTTTCGTAACTTAGGCCATCAATGTGTACTTACATTTACGAGTCATTAGATCATGTTTAATTTGGACTTCTCTGTGCATGCTCTTTGAGGTGGTGACCATAGACCTGCATTATATGACTGACAGACAAAAACAGTTTGACCCAAAAATATCAAAATTGAAACTACTACGGAAACAAAGACACCTACATCTTGGATGCCCTTGAGGCAAGCTAAAACATACCAAAAATTAATTTCAAAGTGAACTATCCCTTTAATGTTTATTTAAATTTAAGAGATGCTTTAAGCATTTGTAGTCTCGTAATTTGAAAGCTGATACTGTTAAGAACAGTAAATGATTTCTGGTGATGCTGCAGAGGTGGGTCAGTGTTGAGAATGTTGAGAGCATGAAAAGGTTATCACTTTCACCTTAGACTAAACTAAACTGTCCCAACACCTTGTAAAAGGGCAAGTGCTATAAGATAACGTCTGAGTAAATTACTTTTTGAGTTTTCAGAACACATGGGTCAAAGGTCAATGTCAACGGATGTAGTATGTCTGTGAATGTATTCATACTAAACACCTGCATACCTACAGAACATTTGAATTCAGTATATACTATGACAGTATGTGTCAGACCAATTGTTTTTCAGCATGTACTGGTTCTCATATTCTTCCTGTTAGAGTTTCAGTGCAGGGTCATCTATTTTGCCAGCATCTGGGCCACACGACCTGCAGTTGCGTTGTGTACATAGATATAACAGTTTTTCCGTGTGAGCTAAATTTAGGACCTGGCACAAGTGGAAGCTTGGTTAAATGTTTTGTCACCTCCCGCCAGCTTTATGGAAAGTGTTTCATTTGCATGTTCATGCTCCAAAAGCAGATCAATTGTTAAAGCCTCTCCAGAGTGGATGAATGGACAATGACACTTGTTATTGCATAGCTGGAGTGACATGAAGTCCAAATAGTGAGCTTCAAACCACACGGTCTAAAACAGTTTGCGAAATTTAAATACCATCACCACACTGAAAGTGCTCACCTTTGAAAGTCACACAAATGTATAAAATTACACACATCATTTAATTTGCTTTCCTTAAAAGGAACTAAACAAATGTATAAATCATAGAGGTTTGTGTGCATATACATTTCAGGACCTTTTTAGGAAAGAAAACAAAATTGTGCACGTTTTATATATTTCTGTAAATTGCATTTGTATCCAAACATGTTTTGACCCACAGAACTGATCTTTAAAAAAAAAAAAAAAAAATATATATATATATATATATATATATTATTTCAATAATAAAAGTGATGGTAAGGTAGTGGTAAGTGGATCACATTTCTGGTTTGGTGTCAATGAGGGGTTACTTGAGCCTTACAGGTGGTGTTATCTACCTTATTTTGCCATGCACAATCAATTTTCCATGAATGTGCGAGACTTCTGATTCATTAGCCATTAAGGTAAATAGCTAGAAGAATAACAAAGTACAGTAAAACTACTTGGGCTACAAACCAGTGTGTTTATGATGACAATAATGAATGAAAATTATATGACAACAAATACCAGTTTGCAATTTCAAGCAGCATAACACACTGTTTTTGTACTGTTAAAATAACAAAGCAGATGACACTGGAAGATACAAATGGCCGCTCCCGCTCTTATGTTAAAAATAAGGTGGACATAAGACAAAAAACATTGTTATACCTCAAAACATTTAATTATAAGACATTTATTGAACATCTCAAAATAAATCATAATAGTATGATTATAGCACATAAAATAAGGCCTAAAATCATAAATATTTACAAATGACATATGATTTAGGTGAGAGTTTCAGCTACCAAGTTTTGTGTTCCAATATTCAAACTACATAACAGCTTCAAAATCACTGGCAAACTGTTAGACTGCCACTGTTATGGAGTTGCTTTTACGCATTTTCTCTTTATTTAAAAATGTGATGTGATGCGTTTATGCAAGAAGTGTTTACTATATCTACAACGTAATGTACATGCCTCATGGTCCAACGGACATTTCCTTCACACAAGTGTGGGCATCATGCCAGAGTTTGGGTGGTGACTGTAGGACAAAGTGGAAGAGGAGTGCAAGGTGGAAGGGGGCAGTAGATGAGGGGTGTGGCTATAAGACAGGAGCGGTCCTGGGTTCAGAGAGTAGGGTCCTACATGCTCATCGGGAGGTGCGATGTGAGACATGTCAGGGTAAACCTCTGACACTGTGCTCTTTTTGCCCTTCTTGTTTCTGTTAGACACCTTGCGATTCCGTGTCTGGATGCCATCCTTCTTCATAGTTAAGGGCCTGTTGATCTGCAAAAAGGCACAACAGAGATGTTAAATTTGGCAGTTACTCATTTTTCCTTCTGGTATATATAGTATAAATGTGTATACTCACATTGTGCAGTTTAAAATAGAGGCCGCAGGCGTTGCACACAGGCTCGCCACTGGCATTGCGTCTCCATAGTGTCGTAGTGCTTGTGTGGCAGTTGGCACACTGCGTTCCAGCGCGTTTGCTGACAATCTGACACACAAGCAGAATTTATTGTCAAGAAGTTGATATAATCACCACATAATGAATGATTTAATTAATATATAACCCTAACTATAACTATAAACCTACATACAGTACACTCATGTAAAACAGAATATACTACATACTGTACCACAATAGCAAATCTTAAATGCTTAAATCATCAAACTATATTATTGCCCAGCAATATATTAAAAGTTGGATATAGTACATCCTATTTTACCTGTGTACATACAGTAGAGTACACTCACGGTAAGCAATACTATATAGCAAATCTCAGCTGCGTGATTGTCTATATTTTTGCAGAAATGTAAACTGTATCGCACAGCTCTATATATAGATATATATAGATTATATCCAACTTTTTTCGCATACATACAGTGCACTCACATAAAGCGATGTATACAATAGAGCAAATCTTAACTGCATTGCAAAATGTTACGATATAATCACCCATCTCTTTATTTAAAGTTGTATATATAAGTATGTCCAACTTTATCCACATACATAGGCTGCTCGTGTTGGGCGATATAGCAAATCTCAAATGCTTGATTGCTTGTGTTATAGCAAGATGTAATCTTCTACTATGCAAAATGAGACTGTAAGCCATGAATTTCTTAATGTATTATAAGTATTAACTGCTTTGAACCAATGTGAATTGTGAAAAGTGCTACATAAATAAATTTAACTTGACTTGATAAAATCACAAACTATCGCCTGTTTTTTTTATTATTTTACATACCAGCCTCTTTTTTGGTCTGATGAGGGGTCTGTTCTGGCCATTCATCTTATGGTACAGTCCGCAAGCATTACAGAGGTAGTGGCCTGTCCCATCTCGACGCCACAGAGGGGTGGCAGTGGCACCACAGTTTACACATTCACGAGCCTCTGTCAAATTCAAAAGTAATTAATACTCAGCATCATGCAGGACTTTCTCAATCATTTCCAGAGGAAATTTACTTACCTGGTGGCGAAAGTCTCATCTTGTTGCGAAGTTTGGGTGAGTATGACGAAGGGCTCATCCAGGGTCCAGCACTAGAATAGAGTGATGCTGAACTATAGTCCTGTGACGTGGTCATGTATGATCCGTATGGACTCAGCATGTGTGGAGAAGGACCATACACACCTCCAGCGGCTGAACTCAGATTGAGAAAGCTGCTTCCCCCTCCACCCATGGGACTCAGGCGCTCGGCTTTTAGGACTTCCTGGAGCCTGGGACTTTCCTTCCCATCATGGCTCGGGGAAGGGAATCCCTCTTTGGGGGATGTGAAAGATGGGGTCGCACTGTTCGGGTAGATGGACGTGGTGGTGTGAGGGTGGAGAGGTGTCTTTGTGAATGGGCTGCTTGCCCAGACAGTGGATGTGGGGTTATAGGAAGAGTTTAGAGAGTGGCCTACAGAGTTGTCCAGCCACTGGATGTTTCCCAGAAGAGATGGAGAGGAGTAGACTTGGCGAACTATTTCAATGGAATAAAAAAGTGACACATTTTGACTGTAATGTACCCCAATATTGATAGTTTTGAAGGATGTTTCAACTGTTTTTGTCTAAGCAGTGACAATGGGGTTCAAAACAACATTGGACACCTCTGACTTTCATTATATGGACAAACAATTAAGACATTGTGTTTAAGAGAAGGTCATACAAGTTTGAAACAACATTAGGGTGAGTAAATAATAGACATTTCATTTTTGTGTGAACTATCGTTTTATGGGGGTGTGGAAACCAGTGAAACAATGGTTGCATGTCTTCATACAACTCCTACTGATCTCTTATTATAATTACAATACCATTCGGTGATGCAGAAATGGCACATTTCACTTAAACTACAGCAGTGAGGGTCTCACCTGGACTGTGTCTGTAAGAAGACGAGGCTCGACTCTGGACACTAGAGGAATAATAAGATGGGAGTAAGTCAGCCTCAGAGCTGGAGTAGAAGGGCTCATCATCTTCACCGGGTGGCAGTAAACCAGGCTCTGTGGTGTAGTTTGCTAACGGGTCGGGACTGATCAGGCTGGGGGACACCCAACGAGACTGCTCAGATGAGTTCTCCATCTTACAAGTGGGAGAAATAATGTGCAGACAATCGTTTTGAAAGAAGTATGAATTTAATCAATTCTAAAGTTAAAATATTTTTTCACAATAATGTGGTGATTTTTTCACTGCCATCAAGATGAATGGGAATGCTAACAGATAGCCTGACAGGTAATATAGACCTTGGTCCATAGAATATTTTATTAAGCTAGACAGTACGGCCTGTCACACTTCCCTTTAAAATGTCCTCATTTGACTGTGGCAAAAAGTCAGCTCTAAAAATACAGTATGTCTGAATTTCTCACAGGCATTCATAACAGTTAGCATTAGCTCACAACAACGTTCAATCCCTTAGGGGAATTGACTATTAAAAGATTAACAGAAAGACCATATATTTGTCTTTGAAAAAAGATCGATATGGGATCAATATTGATTAAATATCTGTCCTGAAAAATAGTTTTGAAGCATCATTAAAAAAAAATGTAATAAATTTTGTAATTTAAAATAAAAGTATTTACAGCTATAGCTCAGAATGTCGAACAAAATTTGCGGGTACAGATCTGTATGCCTATATTGCTGTGTAAAAGAATTCGATTACTAGATAATTAGATCATTATCACTATCAGAACCATATTTATCTCGGAGCTAGTCTTTATTGCATTGATAGTGCATTCAGGTAATTTTGTGTTTTTTTGTTTGGTTTGTTTTATTTTTGTTTTAGCTCTAAAGCAAGGTGCCTATTTAAGTTAAATTAAACTCAACTACAAACAGACATTAGAATTTCACAAAACAATTTAGTTAAATTGAACTAAATATGATTGGATATATGGACATAATTAACATAAATATTGGAACATATTTTCTTGTAATTTCCGTCAGTCAATCATGTTATCACGTTAAACAGAAAACCCGTCAATCTTGAGTGATTATGAATAGCATCGCATATTCTCCTGATAACTGTTTTATCATTAGTCTAAATGATTGCTGAAAGTGTCAGACAAAATTAAAAAATCATTTGATGTGTAGCCTATAGCATAATACTGTGCGATCAATGGGACATTATTGAACGAATCTTGAATCAAAGCGTGAACGACCTATTTTACACAAATATATTTAGATTTAGAAATATAGTAGGCCTATATTGATTCTATTAAAATAAATATCTTATATATAAAATGATTTTAAACCAGTAGTATTATGTTAATAGCCTATGTATTAGGCTATATCTCTTTGTAGGCCTATGTTAAATCAGTTATAAACTGTAAAATAGTCCAAATTATCTTTTTGTTTAAATTGAAATTTGGATAAAAGTAACAATAATTACAACACAATTTGAATAAAATGAGGGAAAAAATTACATTTGAGTAATAATTAACACCTCTTTTTGGCTCATTATTGTTGCAAGCTCTTAAATGAAAGCAATACATTTATTAAATGCTCACTTTTAAAATGTGCTGGTTTAATGGCAAATAATAATTCATATAAATAATTATCATATATACAAGTTTAAGTTTATAAAAAAATTTGCAAACAGCACACAGTTATTTATTGGTTTATATGGTCATTGATTGATTAAATTGCTTATTTTTAAGTCTAGACTGTAATGTCAGAACCAAGTATATCACATATTTGGCAAATATTAAAGATGTATTAAATAAATAGGAAAAAACTCTCTTCCATATCTAAACACAAAATCATTTCGTCGAGTAATGTTGAGACACTTTCACTGGCACTGTATAGAAGAACTTACCTGCAAGTGATGTATTGAGTATCTTTGTTTATCAGGTGAGTAGATTCACACCACTGCACAGATCATGGAGGACGGCTTGAGAGTCTACTGGTTCTCTGCTCGCTTGCTTATCTCCTTCAGCCTTTAGGAACTAGCAACTTCATTTAAAATTGTAGGGCACCAATGGGTGGGGTTGGGGTACTTTTTTGGACACTCCTACCATAAGGCCATGCTTAGAGTTTTGAATATTCTATGGCAGATCTCCGGCTGACACAGCAACTAAGTATAGATCACTTTAACAATGGTGGATTGTATCAAATATTCTTGACCATTATGATTGTGATCGGCTATATGACTTTGAACACAACATTGTTTACTATTCAGATATCACACTCAAACGTCAATCAGTTATTGAGCTTTTTGGTTCACCAGAACAGACACAATGCTAAATTATACCAGTTATTCTATATAGGTTCTCACAGAAGAGGTTATATAAAAAGGCTTGGTGTATAAATAAAGATAAAGAGGGAAATCTAACAGCTCATTGACTGAAAAAAATCCCACACAGAATATGAGAAACCTTAGTTTACAACTACCATAAACGTATCTTACATGATTCAAGCACAGCAATGATAAAGGAGCACTGATGCATAAAAAAAATATCATAGAGCATATAAGTATGCCATGGCACATACACAATAAATTCAGGAATTAAAACGGCACAAAGAAGTAACAAAGACCAGTCCAAATGGAAACGGTGACTGTGAACAAAGCAAATGAAAATGCAAAAGCACTTTTCCTTGGTGCAGCTCAGCAAAGAACAGTAATGCAAATAAACTCAAATGCTGCAATCATGGGCAGAGATATGGACGCAGCACGGCCTACCTGAGCACAGGACTTAGACTGTCACTGTCATTTGACAGTCAAAACACCTTCAACTTCCCTCCACCATTGTGCATTAATAATTTTCAGGGAAACTGGGATGAGATCCAGAGAAGCAAATCCTTAAACAAGGGCCAGGTTATTGATTTACATAAGGACCTATTTTAGAACTTGAACATAGGCTAACATATTTCATTTACTCACCCTCCTGTCATTCCAAACCTGCAAAACTTTCTTCAGTGGAACACAAAAGGAGATGTTTTCCATTTAATGGAAGTGGATGGTGACCAGGGGGCTGTCAAAACACACATAAGAACAAGATAAAGCATCGTAAAAGTAGACCTTACGACTTGTGCACTATAGTCAGAGTTTCCTGAAGCCATATGATAGTTTTGTGCGAGCAACAGGCCCAAATTTAAATCATTACTTTTTCAAATTTAGCTTATTTAGCTTTCTTGACATCCATGGTCCCCATTCTCTTTTATTCAGTGGAAAAGAGTCGTCGAGTATTCTGCTATAAAAAGATATGATAAATGATATGAGTGAATTATCATTTTAAAAACATGGCTTAATTTCTGTCCTAAACATTTTAAGTTACAAGATAAAGATGGTTTGTAAAGATGTAAAACTATAGATATAAATCTATTTATTTATTATGTTTATTTATTTATTTTTTCATTTGTAGAATGTAAAATACTTGTATATTACTGTAAGCGGATCCCCTCACAAAAGACTGTCAAATAAAAAGAAGCGTTGAGGGATGTGGCTGGTGGCTGTGTGTGTGTGTGTGTGTGTGTGTGTGTGCTGGCTGCTGAACTGTGATAAGAGGTTATCAAGATTGGAGTGGGAGGCTGGGGAATCGTAAGACTAGCCATGACACTAAATGAACAAACTCACAGGAACAGTGACACCCTACAATGGTAGTAAGACAACCTTGTCTTTTACACACACACGCGCACGCACACACACACACACACACACACACACACACACACACACACACACACACACACACACACACACACACACACACACACACACACACACACACACACAGACAGAGAGAGAGAGAGTACATACACATTCACTTAGTTGTCAAAACGAGGACTTACTTCAGTTGTGTAGTATTTTTATTTGAAGCTAATTATGAGGCCAAATCAACGAACATCAGAACATGTTTAGCATTTTTATACAAACACACACGCACGCACATAAATGTTTAGTTTTCTTGTTTTATGCAGACATCGCATAGACACAATGATTTTTTATAAACTCTATCCCTTAACCCTAACCATACCTCTAAACCCATCACAGAAAACTTTCTGAAGTTTTACACTTAAAAAACATCACTTTGATTTATAAGCTGTTTTCATAAGGACCAAAAAGATTTCAGGTATTGCCATAACGTAAGGTATACCTGAACCATACACACACGCATATGTATGTATATATATTACATATATATACTTACAGTTAATATATTTAAAAAGTATAAATATAAAAATGAATCTGATCTACACACGTATTATTGTTGTTGAAAACAGTTGAGCTGATTAATATTTTTGTGTAAAACAGAAAACAGAAAGTTCTAAAGAACAGCATTCATCTGAAATAGAAATCTTTTGGAACATTACAAATATCTTTACTGTCAGTTTTAATCAATTTAAAGTGTCCTTGCTGAATAAAAAACAATATATCCCAAACTTTTGAACATACACATATAAAAAGAGAGAGAAAGAGAGATACCTACAGTATATTGTATTGTATTTCAAAATATCGCATTGCTCTCTCCATTACTCAGTACAACTATATGCATGCAACATAGCCTATATGTAATGTGTTTGCAATCCAGGGTTTTGATTAAGGGGCGCAGTGAGTGAAAACAGTACATAACAGTTCTTTTAGTATAATGACAACCATTCCTGAAACCAGGAACTCCTTAGATCCAGGTCATCCAGGTGCCAAATACACAATGCCCATGTGGATCCAAAAAGATGTTTCAGTTGGTGAGTGACACAAGAGCTCTGCGGGAACTGTTACTGGTCAGGATGGTGCAGGGGGCCAGAGCAGAAAGGCCAAAGGGTTGGGGGCAGTTGTGGGTTCTTGGGGCAGCGCTCCAGTTCCAAGGAAAGAAACTTCCATGAAAGCAGGCTCTTATCTCTGCCTCACACAGCCAGCTGAGCAGCTCTGTGTCATGACGGTATACAACTCAGAGGACCGCCTCTCTCTCTCGGCCCCGACGGATTATTTCTTTTTTACTTCCAAAGTTAGAATAAATTTCTTTCAGATCATCCACAAAAGGAAGTGTTATTGGCAACAATTATCTTCATTCCCAAATAATTACATCTCTCATCCTCAAGACTCAAAAATCATTTCTAGTCAAAAGTCTTATCCCAAAGATAAGTCTGAGTGAGAGAACACAGAATGTTCTTGTCTATGGGTTGCAGACTGTTAGAGGATAAATCGCACTGAAATAATTTCCAGTCTGTCCCTCCTCCTCCTCACCACTGCATCCACAACATAGAAACAATAAAGCTATTCACTCATGTTGTCAATTTGTAGGCTAACACGGAAGACTGTTCACCATCGGTTCCCTGAGGAATTTATCATTTGTTTTTAGAATAGTGGCTTTCAACAAGAAACAAGAAAGTAACTACAATGGTTGTCAGATTCTTCAAGCATATAAACTCACATCCTTGTGGCAGTTGCAGTTCTTATGTTATATAAGATATAATTTATAAGAACTGAAAGATTGTGAAAAATGAATACAATTTTAAAAATCTGTTTTCTGTTTAAATATATTTTAAAATGTAATTTATTCCTGTTATCAAAAAAACGACATTTTCAGCATCATCACTCCAGTCTTCAAGGTCATATGATCCTTCAGAAATCATTCTAATATGCAGATTTGCTGCTCTAGAAACATTTCTTATTACTATCAAAGTTTTGCTGCTTAATATTTTTATGTAAACCATGATGCAGTTTGTTTAGAATTCTTTGATGAATAGAAAGTTCAAAAGAATAGCATTTATTTGAAATTGAAATCTTTTGTAACCTCTTCTACTGTAAGTCTTTACGGTCACATAATGATCAATATAATATCCTTGGCGAATAAAAGTACACTTTCATTTGTCTTAAAACTCACATTTGAGCGTATAACTTATGTTGTAGAACCAAATGTGAAAGTATTTTGTAGAAAATTCATAGAGAGAGCAATGCATGACACATTAGAGGTGAAATTAAAAACTTTTAAAGAAGAGGATGTGTACCTGACCTCAAAGCCACAGCTCCCATAAGTAATAGTGTGACTCAAAGGTACCAGCTAAGTTTGTCTGTTTTGTGAGGTAAGTTACTCAAAACCACGTTTCAGTTGAGGAGAACTGGTCTCAATATTCACTGTTACAACCGGTTACAATTTACAGTTTTGCCCTCCACACCCTTAACTGACACAGAGCAAGACACCTCCCATGTGAGGACCTCTGACATAGCGGCTTCTGCCAAGTGTTTGCCTCTATCTTTTGTACTTTGAAAGCAAAATGAATGATGAAAAGCTATACGCTTACAAAGCAGTACTGTTGCAGTACCATGTACAGTGGCGGTCTTAACATAGAGGCATAGGTAGGCGGCTGCTTGGGGCCCCCTACCAGCGGTCGTAGTAGGGGGGCCCCCCAACCAACCTCAAAAATATATATATAAAAGAAAAGAAAAAGCCCCTCATCATGAACGCTTCAAAAGCATAGTAAATGTTATTAATATTCTTAAGAAATACGTTGAAATGTTGAAGTAGTAGTTAAAATGTCCAGTTCATGGTTATCTGTCCCTACACATAACACCCCCTACTTTCGCAATAAAATGGACTAGTCCGTAAATGTGCGCGGCGCGAAACCGCGAAAGATAAACATGACAGGAGGACTGGGAAGTACACAACGAAGCAAGACGAGTCTAAACGCGAAAATGAAACGAAGTTACCCAAGCGGCTCAAATAAAAGAAAGAAAGACAAAAGACGCCGATATGTATTTGGCAACGCTGCCAAAAATGACAAACTTTTTTACGCCTACTGTTGGGGACACATGCCGCTACAGCAGCAGCTGTGAAGTAACGCTAGTTGAGGATAACGTGTATAGGCCTACTGTTAGACTGAAAGGGCAAAAGTAAATATGACATTTATTATGGGTTTATCTGATGATTGTTTTAAGTTCACGTAAATTAAAAGTCGTTATATATTTTTTGAAGCCTAAAAAAATGTAAATTTTTTGGCTTTCAATTACACTGTAATGTTGGATGGCTGGCTATAATTAATGTTCAAAATTAAGGGGAAAAAATCATTTTTACCCAGACATCAATAGCTCTATTAGTATCAGTGATACTGACCTTCATTCATAAAAAGATGCCATTAAACAAGTATTTAAAATATACTGTTTTTATGTTGTCTCTACATTCATTTGTAGATTAACTGTGAAATCATTACATTATAAAATATATAAACTAATACAAACCTATAAAAATGTTTGTTTGTAGAATGTTTGAAATGTCAATCTCATGTGCAATGCCAATTGCAACCTCACTCACTCATACAAAGTCAATTATTCATCTTGGCAATATTTGCTATTATGGCTGTTTGTGGGGGTTTACCCTAACTACGTGTCTTGCTGGTTATATTGATATTGATTTGATCTTAAAAAAATAATAAACAGTGCTGGGTTTCCTGGCATTTTGGCAAAGACAGGTGTTATCTGAAACCTTGTTCTCTGTTGGGGAAGGTTTTTCTTTTCTCCTCTCCAACCTTTACTTCCCCGTAGATTAGCTTTTCCTACCATTCAGTCGGTACATTTCTCATAAAGATGGGATGGGGGGGCCCCCATACGTACCTTCGCTTTGGGCCCCCAATTTGCTAAATCCGCCACTGACCATGTATCTGTAAATGGTATCGCATGGTTAGGCTACACCATGGTAGCTACTTTGATATAGGCCTAGGCTACTATGGTAGGCTACTGAATTATAATTAATGTATGGTATTGTGTGTGGAACTCCAAGTTATTTCAAAGATTAGTGTAGATTACAATAATCAAAAATCTGTAAAAGCTGACCAGACCAAGACAGTTGTTCCTTAAAAGTCACAGATTTAAAACAAAACAGGTGTAACTTAGGCCTACAATATGAGAGGATTTTTGTTTGCTTGTTTTACCTGTATCTGAGTTCGACCAAGCAAAAAGACACACTTTTTCAGTATGCTAATAATAATGTTGAAGTCTTCTGAGGTAATTTTCACTACAATCGATACGATCCATGATGGTGCCAGTTCACGTTTGAACGATTTGAACACGGTAAAATCCGAGAGACATGAAGCAAGTGCAGTGCCGGTTGACCAATCAAAATCAAGTACTGAAGAGCGCGGATATTAATCTTATTAGTGTTCATTTCTACATTCACTAATACCTTTTTAATGCATTTTTATTTCATGTCACATTCGAAGAACGAATATATTAACAAGAAACAATAATAGGATAAGATGCGGGAAGATGCCCATGACAACAATGTGCATTTAGCTATAGCCTACTTTCAAATTGTAACATATTTAGATTCGGCTAGGTTTAGCATGTGCAGGATGCAGGATGCAGGATGATGATGATGATGCATTAGGCAATGCAATATTAAGGTAAATAATAATAAAAAATTTTTTTTGCTAAATTTCTTGTCATATAGCACAAAATATAAAATGATTCAAAGAGGAAATCTTACCCCACTTCTTGGGTAAGCTTTTACAAATTGTATAAAAAACTTTCGATATCATTGTTATTCAAATTTATATAGACCTATTTAAAAGTGTCATTAATGTAAAAGACTAAATCAACTATTATATTTAAAACTAGGCCTAGGGCCTACTATAGTTCTAGGCTAGGCCTAAACTCCACACATCTAAAAATCTCATTAACAAATAGGCTACACAAAAAACTTTGAAATTCAAAGAAATCATGAAATTTAAAACTGTCCAGGAAGAGCAGAACATCATACATTTTTGTTAGCCTGCTACACCACCTGTTTAGTTTAGAAAGGCGTTTGTTTACCTTACACTGCTAAGTTGGTTAACCATTACCTATTTTGCCATGTTTTCTTATGGATCAGTGATATGAACAGGACACACACTACAGTCTGAAATGCAACAAGGAGAAGTGTTGACTGAGATGAGTTCCTTCATGACCTCCTTTCATTGAAGACAGCTTTGGTTATTTTTATCATGACTGAGTGGAGCACACCACACTTGAAAGTGATTCTTATCGGAAACTCTGGGTGAGTGTCTGTCTTAGAAAGTAATGATGGTATCTAGTAGTAAAGCATGCATATAAAGCACATAGATGAATAACAGCTTTTCTAGCATCCTATTATAGTCCAGAAAATTTTGCAAGAACAAAGACATTAATTCCCTTCAAAGGCTTGGTATCATTATGACGTTTTTATGTTTCTGAAAGAATGTGATACTTTTATTCACCATTATATTGATAAAAAAAACAATATTGATTGACAATTGACAATATTGAAATTTATATTTTTAAAGATTACAAAAAGTTTTCTAAGACATGAGTAATGGCTGCTCATAATGTTTTAAAATTATGGAAAAAACAGTTATTAATTTAAGGTTTAAAAATGCATTTCAAGATGTTTTAGTGATTCCAAACTTTTGAATACCATTGTATGTGCGACCCAAAAACAAAAGCCTATATACTGTTACACAAAAACAAGGAAGTACAGAAAGTAACTAAAATAAGTGACTCTAAACATGAAAAAAACCTCAACAGCTGCTTGTGTTTCTAAAAAGTTTGTCATTTACGGAGGCAGCTGGTTCTGTAACTCAAGGTCAATGCACTATATGCATTGTAGTTAGTATAATTTACCAGTTAATTCTCTGGTCAGTTAGTTGTCCCTATTTCTTTTTGTCTGAACAGAGTGGGGAAATCTTCATTTATGACCCGATTTGTTGACCATCGCTTTACTAAATTGTATCGTGCCACAATTGGGGTAGATTTCCTTGCTAAAGAAGTCACTATTGATAAAAGATCAGTGATTCTTCAGGTGAGATACATTTACATTCATTTATGTTAAACCCACAAGATTTAAAAGATAAAAGAAAATCCTTCACTTCATGTCATACACAGGATCCACAGATAGCTTTCATTACAATAACACAGGTTACATCTCAACTGATTGAACAGGGCTCCACAAACTATGTCATGCAATACTCAGCTGTTTTTGCACCAGATCTGGGACACTGCAGGTACAGAGAGGTTTCATTCCCTGGGTACCGCACTGTATCGTGGAGCTCACTGCTGCCTCCTAGTGTTTGATGTTACCTCGTCCGTCTCCTTCGACGCACTAGACGTCTGGAAGAAAGAGTTCCTGGTGCAGGCATTTCCTTCTGACGCCACTGCCTTCCCTTTCATAGTGCTCGGCAATAAAATTGACTTGGATCATCGTGAGGTTAGCCAACTCTATTGCATTAGGATCTATAGATCTAGGCCTGGTTTCACAGACAGGGTTTATAATAAACCAGGATTAGGCTTTAGTTAAAACATTGTTTGCACCTTGAGACAAAACAGTGGCACTGACATATTTTAAGATATCTCAGTGCAAGTTGCTTTCAGTTAAGACACCTCAAGCATACAATTTAGTTTGGGACTAGGCTTAAGCTTTGCCTGTAAAACCAGGCGGTAATGTATTACTTTGCTTATAACTGATACAGGATTTGATTGACAGGTGTCCCCAAACAAAGCCCAGCAGTGGTGCAGTGAAATCGGAGCTGAATATTTTGAATGTAGTGCCAAGGAAGACGTTGGCGTGGACACGACCTTTCACAGTGCAGCACGAGCTGCCCTGCAGTATGTGAGTTCAATCATTTTTGTATAACCAAGACTGTTATATATTATTCCCCCGGTTTTACAGACAAGGCATAAACCAGTCCCAGACTAAAATGCATGTTTGAGCTGTTTTATCTGAGCGCAACTTGCACTGACAGATCTTAAAATATATCAGTGCCATTGTTTTGTCTTAAGATGCACACAAGTAATATTTTTTTTTCTAAGGCACGTTTAAATGTCCTAATTTAACTAAATTCTAATCCTGGCTTAATCTAAGCCCTGTCTGTGAAACCAGGCCATTGAATTTAGTTTTTGATCAGAGACACTAGCCAGTCCTAACTGAATATTTAATACTCAGCTTGACCAAAAAAGCAGTAGTATTAGGTTACAGTTGTTTGTGCCACACTCTCTACAGCTCAAAAGCCACCATGTGGAGAATGGAGAAGACATCCAGATTATACAGAAACAACAGGATAAGAAGCCAAATAAAAAATGCTATTGTTGAAGCAAGGACAATCTCTTGGGCTACTGTTCTGTGTTTAAGTCAACATTAAATCAAGTTATTTTTTTTATGGAATATTGCATTATTTATTATAAATAACTTATCCGTGCACATCATTTAATTTTTTTGCCGTTCATGAAGCTGGATGTACGGATATATTCACCCGGATACACGACACAAAGGGGAAAAAAAAGACCATTGCAACTTCGGTTTCATGGTGACTTTAAAGGTGCAATGTGTAATTTTTTTTGAGTATTTATTAACAGAAATGCAATATGACATCCATAACTATGTTTTCAGTGGTGTAAAGAACTTACTTAAAGCTGCAGTCCGTAGCTTTTCCTCTTTGTCGCCATCTCTCTGTTCGAAATCTGTAACTGCAGTGATTCGCGGAATTATCATCTTTACGTGGGTTGTAAATCGGCATGAAACAGCGCGGATGAACACAGTGCTTTGAGGCGAGTGCTGCTGTCAGTCACCGCGCTGTGTGGATACTGTCATACAGAATCACAGATTCACTTTTTGAAAGTTTGACCAACATAAGAATTTTCATAAGAAAATGTCTTCTGAACAAGTAAGTAACATCCATTTTTGTTCTGACCAACTAAGGGGGAAAAAGCATTCGACATGATAAGCTTCGTTAAATTTAATCAACGCGATTTACAGCAACCGTGCAAATTATAGCCTACTTTGTTCTCAAATTGTTCATGTTAACAACATCACATCAGCATTGCGTGACTAATGTTAAATTTAATGTGTTTTATGGTTAGCTGTGCAGTTCAGAATTCATATTCTCCATAATAGCAAAACGAGAAAGGCATAACAAAGGAAACTCCATAACTGTGTGAATTAAGAAAACGTACTGTTACACGATTGAACTATTGAAATGTCTTAACTTACTTGTTCAGCAGAAAAAAGCCGTCTCTTCTTCCGTTTTGAAACCCTTCGAAACACGGAGTTCACGCACTTTTCAAAAGCCCCGCCGATGTTTAAATCCTTGTGTTCGCATGAGACGGTTTCTTTCTCTAGCCACCTTAAATCCGAAGTACGAAGTCTTTGGGGTTTTATAACTGCTGAACTCCAGTTGACACTGATGATTGTTGTTTGGATCTTTCTGGATGCCATAAGTTTAATTATGTAAAGTGCTGCGAGAAAAGCCTATACATCTAAACATCTCGTCACGCGCAGTATAGCCGGCTAGCCGAAACTCCTTCTTTATGTGTACGGGTGTGACGTAATGACGCAAAGACATGCTCGAATTTCCCGCGGAAACCCACCAGTACCACTGGAATTAAAATCATTATTACAAGCTAAACGTTTTGAATCTAGCTATGGCAAGCAGATAGTTTTGACCACTGGCAGAATACGTTTTTTTTAATATAATTATTTTGGATTATTTTTAACTTAAAAAAGCTACGGACTGCAGCTTTAATAAACCGTAATGTTTTTATTACCTTAGAATGAGACATTTATATCTACATAACCGCGGGCACCCCCTTCTATGAAGGTCGACATATTGTGACGTCATGTTTCTACCGTAGCCGACAGCGAACAAACAGCGCTACAGAGCGCGTTTCGTCACTACCTTGAAAAAGAAGCCGCAGAAAGCTAGAAGCTAGCCATAAACACCGTGAGTAGTGACTTTTCCCTTGTCAGTGGTGTAAAATATGTAGTTGGATTGTTTCATGTAACTTAGTTCTTCTCCCTCGATGTGTTATGGCTTTGCTATGTAGGGATAAATGTGCTGGTAATGTTCGTGAGACAGCTGATTAGTACTCTTATCATTGACCGTAAACAGTAACGTTACAGGAATCACCAACCCATCGATCGCGGTCGACAAGTCGATCTTGGAAGCATTTGAAGTCGATCGCGAAGAGTTTTCAAAATCAGAGAAAAAAAGCCTATTGTGTGTAGTAAATGGTGTCTAGGGGATGCGGAGGCGCGCACGCTGTTACAATCATGTCATTTTTGCTGCGCGCATCTTTGGGCTCATGCAGACGCGTCGAGTTTAAACAAGGCTTTACGCTAACCAGCTCAGCCACAGTAACAGCTCATATTTAGCCAGCTAAACTTTTACTACCCTGTTAGAAAAAATATATAGGCCTAGTTGCACAGTTTCATGTGGTTCTTCTCCCTCGCTGTATTATGGGTTTGCTATGTGCTGGTTACGCTTGTGCGACAATTAGCTGATTACTATTATTATATTATATATTAAGACCTTGATCCTCATCTGACTATGGCTTTGTAAACTTTATCCATGATGTGGTTTATAATGGACTGTGGTACAGAAACAGTGACAATGTTACACACTCTTGGCTTACTCTGGCTATTCTCTGCTGTCTCAGACGACGATATGTTTGTCCCGTTTTAGCCACCGTAGCTTCTTCCAAAGGGAGGGGTGAGCAGTGGGCTGAGCCGTTAGTGCAACTCGCAACCGAACCGCTAGATGTCGCTAAAAAATACACACTGCACCTTTAAGGCCCGTTCACAAGGACGTTATCCATTATGATTACTATACATTTTGAATAATCATTCTTATACTATGAGAATAGTGAAGTCCACACCACAGCTATAACAATAACAACAAAGAACAATGATGTTGGAATCACTTTAAGAGCTTTTCTTTTTCCAGCTGATGAATAAGTAATTGCATTCTGGCAGAATTAGTCATGTTGTGAATGCACTCTTTTCACCACATTAAAACATGGATAATAAACTAAAGCAAAATTTTTTTATTTCCATTTTTACAATACAATGTAACAAAAACGTCACTTTTAAAAAAAATGTTTAATGTATGTTGTTCAACGTTTAAATATAAAAAATGTATCTGTCAAACAAAAAAAATTCTAGTCAACTAAAATGTAAAATTTACTAAAATTAATAACAGTGAAATGGTGAAAGTATTAGTACCAGGCCATGTATTGAAAGAAATGGGGGATTTAAAAGATTTTTCAAAAAACTGTTTTTGATTCATGTGTGAAAGACTTTTGTATGAAAAATAAAACCTCTTGAACTACTTCATATGAATACTATGCTGGGATATCATTCCTTTATTTCAGAAGAAATATCTCCATGTTAAATGCAAACGAGTTAACCGCCTTATCTATTTAGCTATCCGAAGGGCGTTTCATCAAATATAGCTACTCAAATTCACAATTCTGGAAGACACTGGGGATGAAATTAACTCCCAGGATGTGCTGCATGAAACTAAAAGAAATTGCTAATAATTAATCAGGGAGACAGTTTATATATTTCGGTTTCTTTTATAAGTCAAGACAAAAAAGGCAATCAGGAGATGACCAACATGTAAAAACGTTGTACAGGTAAATATATAAAAGGCCAGAATATCATCTTCACTTCTTGCGGTATGAATGAACTATATTACAGTCAAATCCGAACTTGGCTTTTACCAAGAATGAGAACGGCCATCCTCACCCACATGGAGACATACAGGTATACACTGAACATTTAGTTTGCATACCTCTCAGATAATCAAAAGGGAAAAAAGTAGAAATTCATCTTCACATGGACAATTTCCTTCACAATCTAGGGCAGAGAAAATTCTAGTTACATTGTGAAAAAGTTAAGAGGACAAGTCAGAGAAAGGGAAAAAGCTGGGTGTTTACTAATAATGGCGGTTTGGTAAGGTGAGGAATTAAAAAAAAAAAAAAAAAAAAATTAAGATTTTTACATCTCAAGGTTTGGCATACACAAACACAGAGTGGAAACAAGCGTAGAAAAACTCAGTAAACAAAGTAAAAGCCCTTCAGATGTTTACATTTGTTTACATCCTTTTCAGTTGTTGCACATCACCACTCGGCTTGAGCACAAATACAATGTGTCAAAGTACTTGACAACAGCACAGCCCTCCAAAAGCCCTTCATCCCACAAATCCTTAAACCAAAGGTGGATGGCCAATAATTTTTAAAACAAAAAAAATAAAATAAAAGTTGTGAGTTAAAAAAAAAAAAAGCACACAGACATACACATACACACAGGAGAAAAGCTTTAAAAATACAAAAATAAACTACACAAAAGATCTTCTCCATCGTCGCTCACTAATTTTTTGGGAAGTTTTGCGTTTTTCCTTTTTTTTTTCCTTTTTTTTTTTTTTTTTTGTATGGCAAATCTCAGTTTTAGCAAAGTCTCTGTCCTGCCGGTAATGTACTTCCATGGCCATTTCTTTATCTGCAGTTCTGCCTCTATTTCTGCTTAATGCAAAAGTGCACAGACTTCACCAGAAGGCTTGAGTCCAGAACGAATCCGTACGCAGATCTTATTTCACTTAGCCATTTGAGTGAAAAAAATCCCCTCTTGTCTGAGGACAAGTGCTTGGTTTGTTTTCCCCATTTCTGTTCCCCTCACATGAATGACTCATCTCCATTCAGAAATCCTCCCGCCATGTCCACATATTTAACGTGAACTAAAACTTCACCATGAAGTCCCATCACAGAAAAGAGAGTAACTTCATTTGAGCCCAACTGACAGAACAAACATTACAAATATCTTAAAACTGGTGTTTGAATTCACTGAAGCAAGATACATGTATTGAAAGAAATGGGGGAGAAAGGAAGACTACAATGGAAAATGCAAATTAGTTTTTTTCCCTCCCACTCCAACTATGTGGAAAAATACTCAAATATTCAATGTGCTTTTCTCCATTCATACTATTAACAAGAAAAAAAAGCATTCCCTAGAAATTACTTCCTTGTTGATTTTTTGCTGTTTTAACAGATGGTTACAGTTGAAGATGTGTTGAATCCAGATGGTGGAGCGCTTTGAGTATAGTGTAAGTCTTCCTGGTCTTGGAGGACGAATGGAGAGAGGGGCTTATTGGTCCATTCTTGCTTTCTTCTGACCAATCCCTTTCCTGGAATTAAAAGTACATATATTTTAATACTCATTCATACTCAAACTACTTTTCTGAAATTTAAGGTCAATATGACTTTTATTAAAATAACTTAATTTTATTTAGCAAGGATGCATTAAAACTGATATAAAGTGACAGTACAAGACATTTATAATGTTAAAAAAACCTCATTTAATAAATGCTGTTCTTTTGAACTTAATATTCATCAATAAATCCTTAAAAATTACTGCGGTTTCATTCATAACAACAACATTGATAAGAAATGTTTCATGATCACCAAATCAGCATATTAGAATGATTTCAAAAGGATCATGTGACACTGAAGACTGGAGTAATGATGCTGAAAATTCAGCTTTACCATCACAGGAATATTAAATTTTAAAATATTGTAATACTACTTCACAATAATACTGTTTAACTTATGTTTCATCAAATGCGCTTTTATGATACTGGAGACATGGACACTTACGTATCTGGTGAAGAAACTGCTCTTTTTGGGGCAGGCTTTGCAGAAAGGCCATCTTTGTTAGACTCTACAAAGCAAGACGCAAAAAAAATAAAAGAAGCAATTGTAAAATCCACCTCGTCACTGGCTGAAACAAATCTTTTCTCACCAAAGAAAACCTGTACCTTGCAGCCATCGCACTTGTGTAGCAGGGCCGTAACCTTTTTCGTTGCGAGCGGCGATGCGGAAGATGATAGCAGGTTTGGTGGTATAGTCTATGTGGGCGTTGGACAGGCTGGAGGACTGAACCAGGCAGGAGGGGTTTGGCCCGCAGTACACACGCATGAAGGCAAGCTGGGCCGGGGCCGAGGGTTTCGCCTCGGTGGTCTGGGTGCTCTGGATGGCCAAATACACTGAGTATTCTGTGATCTTCCCTGATGTCATCGATGGAGGCTCCCATGTAAGGTGGGCACCATCTGGACTCTGAGGAGAGAAACAAGTGAAGAGAGTACACATTTATATGGATGTAATGATTAATTTTGTTACAGATCCTACTGTGAACAAGAATATGTTTTAAAGTCCCTGTAAAGTCAAAATTAAGTATGTGTTCTGAGTTTGTCACACCACAGAAAAATGTGTTATTAGTCACCCAGCCAAATTTGAATGATAAAAAAAGCCAGCAAGTACATAAAATAAGCTATCAAAATCTTGAAAAAATGAGCACTATTCTCTGCTCTCAAACGCCCCGCCCAGAAAATAGCAATGGTGAAAAACTGTTTAACGGTCTAACTCCACAATTCAGTACTTCACAGTTCACAGTCTTTGTAATATGTTTAATCAATACATTTCTAACATTTATAATGTGTTTAGATTTTTTTTTTTAAATTGCCTTTACAGGGACTTTAATATACAGAATAAAGAAATAATACTTTTTTCATTAAGGATGCATTCAATAGAACAAAAGTGACAGTAAAATACATTTATACTGTTACAAAAGACTTCTATTTCAGAAATTATATTTTTCTGGGGGGTGGGGTTTCCATGGTTTTCCCAAATCAGCATAGTAGAATGATTTCGGAAGGATCATGTGACACTGAAGACTGGAGTAATGATGCTGAAAATTCAGCTTTGCCATCACAGGATTAAATTACACTTTAAAATATATCTTAAAAGTTATTTAAAAAAATGTTTTGTTGTTGTTTTGAATCATTATTTGTGCTGTAAAAATATGTGTGTGTGTGTGTGTATATATATACTGTGTGTGTGTATATATATTGTATTTGTGTATGTTAGGGGTGGAACGGTACATGTATTCGTATTGAACCGAAACGGTACGGGCGTCACGGTTCGGTGCACGAATTTGCACGGAGAATACACTGTATAAAAATAAATAAATAAAACTAAATAGCGATAAATATTGCTCTATTCGCGTTTGGTGTGAACGCAGCATAATTAACAGGCTGCGATGTCGAGATTGCAATGCTGGAGTGTGTGTGTACGCGTGCGCACGCGATCGAACTGTGTGTGTGTGTGAGAGAGAGATTGAGGCGCGATCGAACTGTGTGTGTGTGTGTGTGTGTGAGTGAGTGAGAGAGAGAGGGGGGGCGCGGGCGCGATCGAACAGTGGAAACATAAAACCATACTCCGTCATTTTGTTCATACAGGACATCATTCAAACTGCTAAGTGTTTACTTATATTTGTGTACACTCGCAATAAAACACTGTCACTCTAAACTCTTGTCAAACTATAACCTAAAACTGTCACACAACCAAAAACACACACACACAGTTTTAAAAGCAAAACATATTTATCCACCAAATAGTCTGTGGGCGCCATCTTTTGGACATTCATCATATCGCATTGGTTTTCATTTCTTGTCCTCGAGTCCAGCTCTAATCTGTTTACTTTTAAGTTACACATTCTACATTGATTAAAAAAGAAAATCAAATGTGTTTTTAATGGTAGTATCATTTTATACAGAAATCAATTTAGAATTCAGATGAGAATAAAGTTAGGGTTAATTAAAATTAAGGAAAACAAATATATTGATCTGAAATATAGCAAATTAATTTTAAATTCATTCAGGTACAATTACCAAACATATCTCAAGGTCTTTTTATTAATTGAATTAATAAACTAATTGTATAAAACTATTGTCAGTGGACTACAAATAAACTGTTATATGCCTTTATTAATAAAATAAGGGTTAAATATATATATATATTTTTTAAACCTATTTAAAAAATACAAGCCTTAAGACATTTATAAAAATGCCTTCTGCATTTTTGTTTTGCTTTTCACTCTATTGTACCGAAATCGCACCGAACCGAGGTATGAACCGAACCGTGACTTCTGTGTACCGTTCAACCCCTAGTGTATGTACATATATAGCACAGTAACTCACACACAAAGACATATATACAATACATATAGCACAGTAACTCACACACAAAGACATATATACAATACATATATACACATTATGTAAACAAAAACGTATGTTAGATGCGATTAATCGTTTTGACAGGACTAGTTATATTATATAACTGTTTTTAATGTATTTTTAATCAAATAAATGCAGTCTTAAAAAGACACTTCTTTAAAACAACCTTACCAACCCACTTGAATGGTAGTGTAAATTGTTTGTGCTGGTCAGTAATTGATTAAAAGTTTGTACATTATTAAATACAAATAAGAAAAATCAGAATAAATACTACATTAAATATTAAATTTACTGAATTAACAGGATAATTTTAACCCTCATGTGGTGTTCGGGTCAATTTGACCCGGAGAAGATTTTCTTTTTCCCGAAAATACTAGTTAATGTTATCGCTTTGGACTGAAACTTAGTGACTTTGTTCCCAAACGGTTTAACTAAATCTCAGGGTTTTTTTGAAAATTTTCTTATTTTTTTGTGGGAGTTTTGTTACATTGTTACACTTGTGGTGTTCCCGGTCAAAAATGACCGGCCTATAGAAAATAGCTTATAAGTCACTCATTATACCATATTTTCACCCAATCTTGGATTCAATCTTTTTGTGAACTTGTTCTCTTTCAATTAGGACTGGTTTTATATTTCTGTTTGCATCTGATTAATCGGGGGCCTCATTTATCTGAAAGTAGGCATCTCATTTTTTGAGTAAACAACAAATAATTTATGAGTAAATTTGGAAATATGAAAAAAAAAAATGAAAAAAATGGCTACTGTTGATCACACTAGTCTACTCTAATGTTTCACCAGGAATTTTGTTTTGAAACTTTTGTTTTGTAAAAAATATGGCACATAGTCACACTTGTGGTGTTCCCGGTCAAAAATGACCGGCCTATAAAAAATAGCTTATAAATCACTCATTATACCATATTTTCACCCAATCTTGGATTCAATCTTTTTGTCAACTTGTTCTCTTTCAATTAGGACTGGTTTTATATTTCTGTTTGCATCTGATTAATCGTGGGCCTCATTTATCTGAGAGTGAGCATCTAATTTTTTTAGTAAAAAACAAATAATTTATGAGTAAATTTGGAAATATGAAAAAAAATATGAAAAAAATGGCTACTGTTAATCACACTAGTCTACTCTAATGTTTCACCGGGAATTTTGTTTTGAAACTTTTGTTTTGTAAAAAATATGGCACATAGTCACACTTGAGATGTTCCCGGTCAAAAATGACCGGCCTATAAAAAATAGCTTATAAATCACTTATAATACCATATTTTCACCCAATCTTGGATTCAATCTTTTTGTCAACTTGTTCTCTTTCAATTAGGACTGGTTTTATATTTCTGTTTGCATCTGATTAATCGTGGGCCTCATTTATCTGAGAGTAGGCATGGTCAAAAATGGTCACAATGGCCGACCATTGAAAGTGAATGGGAGAGACTGAAAATAACAGAACAATTTAGTTTTCAGGAGCATGTTCATTATTTTCATGTACACATATGAGCATGTGTGCTTGCAAACATCGAGCCTTTGGACCTGTGCATGTATCGATACATTTATACACACGCTACCCAGACACACACGTTAAAACACACAAACTTTTTTGAGTATTACACACATTCTTTTCCACAGAGAGAAATTTGATTCTACCCTAACCTGCATCTAATATACATTTATCCATCTGACATTACCACACACACACACACACACACACACACACACGCACACACACGCACACACACGCACACACACACACACACACACACACACAAACTGGCCGTGACTGCAGTGACCCGGCTTCAAAAGAATCTTTCTTTCATGGTCTTGTTTCATCACAGCTTCCAGACAAAATATTATGACATTTTGTTTTGGAACTGTGAGGTTCTCACACAGAACTAGACAATATTTACAAATATACATCATGTGATAGCACAGGCATATATAAAATGCCTCACAGCACCTTGCTTGTCATTCATTTGTGGCAGCACAATGGCAAAACAGCTCTGCACATGATGTTATTCATCAGATTTTTTACTCAGAAACTAGTGAGGAGGAGGAAATGCAGGATGCATCTTGCAGTGAAGATGTTTCTGAAGAGGAAGGCCTTCAGAAGAAAACCTGCCTTGCCTCATAGGTGGGGATGAAGGCCAGGACAAAGTTCCATCTTTTGACCAGAATGAAACGGTAACCTCAGCTGGGCCCTCATCACTGGAAGACTGCTCCTCATCAGTTGTTTCAAGCTCCGTAGCCGATTCAGTGGTGCCTTCCTCTTCAGAAACATCTTCACTGCAAGATGCATCCTGAATTTCCTCCTCCTCACTAGTTTCTGAGTCAAAAATCTGATCACGGCCTGTGTGTGTGTGTGTGTGTGGTAATGTCAGATGGATAAATGTATATTAGATGCAGGTTAGGGTAGGATCAAATTTCTCTCTGTGGAAAAGAATGTGTGTAATATTTAAAAAAGTTTGTGTGTTTTAACGTGTGTGTGTCTGGATAGCGTGTGTATAAATGTATCGATACATGCACAGGTCCAAGGGCTCGATGTTTGCAAGCACACATGCTCATATGTGTACATGAAAATAATGAACATGCTCCTGAAAACTAAATTGTTCTGTTATTTTCAGTCTCTCCCATTCACTTTCAATGGTCGGCCATTGTGACCATTTTTGACCATGCCTACTCTCAGATAAATGAGGCCCACGATTAATCAGATGCAAACAGAAATATAAAACCAGTCCTAATTGAAAGAGAACAAGTTGACAAAAAGATTGAATCCAAGATTGGGTGAAAATAAGGTATAATGAGTGACTTATAAGCTATTTTTTATAGGCCGGTCATTTTTGACCGGGAACACCACAAGTGTGACTATGAGCCATATTTTTTACAAAACAAAAGTTTCAAAACAAAATTCCTGGTGAAACATTAGAGTAGACTAGTGTGATCAACAGTAGCCATTTTTTTTTTTTTTTTTTTTCATATTTCCAAATTTACTCATAAATTATTTGTTTTTTACTCAAAAAATGAGATGCCTACTCTCAGACAAATGAGGCCCCCGATTAATCAGATGCAAACAGAAATATAAAACCAGTCCTAATTGAAAGAGAACAAGTTGACAAAAAGATTGAATCCAAGATTGGGTGAAAATATGGTATAATGAGTGACTTATAAGCTATTTTTTATAGGCCGGTCATTTTTGACCGGGAACACCACAAGTGTGACTATGAGCCATATTTTTTACAAAACAAAAGTTTCAAAACAAAATTCCTGGTGAAACATTAGAGTAGACTAGTGTGATCAACAGTAGCCATTTTTTTTCATTTTTTTTTTCATATTTCCAAATTTACTCATAAATTATTTGTTTTTTACTCAAAAAATGAGATGCCTACTCTCAGACAAATGAGGCCCCCGATTAATCAGATGCAAACAGAAATATAAAACCAGTCCTAATTGAAAGAGAACAAGTTGACAAAAAGATTGAATCCAAGATTGGGTGAAAATATGGTATAATGAGTGACTTATAAGCTATTTTTTATAGGCCGGTCATTTTTGACCGGGAACACCACAAGTGTGACTATGTGCCATATTTTTTACAAAACAAAAGTATCAAAACAAAATTCCTGGTGAAAATGTTAAGTTGACTAGTGTGATCAACAGTACCAATTTTCTTCAGATTTTATTTAATATTTCCAAAATTATTCAATTTTTTTTTAAAAATTACTCAAAAAATGAAATGCCTACTCTCAAATAAATGAGGCCTATGATTATTCAGATGCAAATCAAAATATAAAACCAGTCCTAATTGAAAGAGAACATGTTGACAAAAAGATTGAATCCAAGATTGGGTGAAAATATGGTATAATGAGTGATTTATAAGGTTTTTTTTATGGCCCGGTCATTTTTGACCGGGAACACCACAGGTGTTATAGGGTTTTGAACACCACATGAGGGTTAATTGTCGAGTTGTTCCAAACCTGAAACCCTCACAAAATATATTTTGAAGAATGTTGGAAACCAAACAGTTGATGGACACCACTGACTTCCAAAAAAAATAAAAATACTATGGAAGTCAATGGGGCTCATCATCTGTTTGGTTACCAACATTCTTCAAAATATATTTTGTGTTCAGCAGAAGAAAAACTCAAAGATTTGTAACAACTTGAGGGTGATGACAATTTTCATTTTGGGGTGAACTATCCCTTTAAAATCATAGTTTCTGGAAATTCTAAATTTAAAATTCAAAATGAAGTGTGAATGAAGTAATCATGACAAGCATCCTATTCATCTAAACTTTTCCTTATTAGAAAATCAATCAAAAACTTGTCAAAATGAATCTTTGAAAAACAAAATGATTGTGCAATTCCCATTTAAAAAACAAATCACACATTTTATGGTGCTCTTGATTATAACACCATATGTAACAAGAGGTAATCAAGTGTAAATTAAGATTTGAGGTGTACCTTGCTGATCTTTATGGCACATGGTGCCCCCGGGAACCCTGGTAAACAAGTCTTGAAAGCAGATATTTCAGAAAAGGCTCCACGGCCACAAGTGTTTATACCCGCCACACGGAACTTGTAGGCGGTCCCGGGCTGAAGCTCCACCTTCTTCATCTGGCTATAGTCAGGGATTGTGCCTGAATCATCCTGCAACATAAAGCAAGTTCTGTCAGTATAATTACATTTTGAAATAAGCAATGTCACAGCGTCTAACAATATTGAATGACGTACTATCTGATTATGGCTTACCTCAACATAACTGGAGTCATCTGCAGGCATGTAAAAATGTGTTACAACCATATTGGTCACTTTGACAATGCCAACATCAAACCACTGGTTTTCTTTCTTCACTTGAGGTTTGACTGTAACAGTGGGAGGAATTTGTCTCTGTGGGGAGAAACAACAGAAAACAGTATTTTAAAAAAACTATTCTTCCACATTTCAATGCATATTATCATGACCCTTTACCCATTATTAAACTTACCCCAGCCTGAATGCCATTGGCCACTTCAGTGAGAGCTGCAGCTGCCTGCATCTTAGCTGGACTGGCAACTACAACAGGTGCTAATGTGCTGGATGGAGCCAAGGCTACAAAGGGAATAAACAGAATTAAAATGGAACATGTCACATCCTGACATTTCATTTAAATAAAAAAAGCTTACAGATATAAACATTACATTCAGACTTTAAAATGTATTAATAGAAAAAAACTTCACAATAAGCTTCCATTTCTTAAACATTATTTACCTGCATTAGTTAACATAAACCAACAATGAAATACTTCTAAAGCACTTATTGATCTTAATCAGGGTTTCTGCACACTTTTTAAAGTCAAATTTAAGGCTTTTTAAGACCCGAAGAAATCAAAATGAATACCGTGCATTAGGGGTGTACAATATTGACAAAAATATGTCTTGATATTTTCAAAGTTTTGTTGATAATTAGATAATATTTTACTGATTGTGTTTTTGTGCTTGGTGCCATGGCTGGTTTAGGCCTGTTAACAGCTGACTCACAAAGATATTCATATTTTTCGTATTCAATGCAGTGGTCAGTTCACAGCAGTGGCAGAAATTAATTTTTTTTTTACCAAGGGGTAATATTTGCCACCTTAAATTGATTTCCAGGGGCATTTTCACCTATATATGGACATTTGTAGATGTATGCATCACCTTTTATGTCAAATTCTAACATTCAAATTAAATTCTATTAGAATAATAACAATACCACTGTTACCAGTCAAATTAAATCATTAAATCAAAATCCATCTTTGCAGTGCAGAGGTGAGACAGAAGCGGCATCAGAACTGGAATTAATATATTTACACTGCATTTACAATTGCATAAATAAAGCTATGAGATTGTTTTTTTTTTTAATTCAATATTTAAATATGAACTTACGTTCTAATTAAAGAGTACTTTAAATGTGAAACTAAAACTTTGGGGCTGGGGGTTGGAGGGTTAGTGCACGTGCACATGAAGGGGGGTGTGGGGAGTGGAGGAGAGAGAAGCATGAAGAGGGAAGTTAGCTAGAGGAGAGATGTCCTAGAAAACGACTAACGTTACAATTATATTCTCTTGAATATTGATATGGAATTTTGATATGAACAAATAGCAAAGAAGAGGGAAAAGGAGAAGGAACGTGCGAAGTCCCAAATTTACATCGGAAAAGCCTGTTTCAGGAAGCATGGAAGGGAGAGGACGGGATGAGGAGGAGGGAGGGTCGAGCTAGCCTCCGTTTTGTTAGACAATACTTCGAACATCAACAAGAAGTGACGTTACCCAACATCGCTTAGAGCACCTTTAATTCAACCGATTTGTTCAAACAGCTGATTCATTCGGGAAAGAAGCAAGTGATGTTCATTGAATCATTAAATTGATTCGTTCAAAACGATTCGTTAAATTTTAAAAATCTAGTTTTAAGACTTGAAGGATCCGCAGAAACCCTGCTTAATGTTAATTTCATCATTTACTAATATTATAAAAAAATATTTATCTGTTAATATTTAATGAACCAAATATAAACAAACAACTAACGTTAACAAAGACTAATATATACTGTAACAAAAGTATTGTTCATTGGTAGTTAATGTTAGTTAACACATTAACTAAAGGGACCTTATTGTAAAGTGTTACCTTTTTAATTTACAGGATATTTCAACTATAAAGGATCAAAACAACAAACATAGTCAATACTATTGAAGAGTAAATTGAAACATCACACATACTCTCTGCTGTGGTGCGAGGCAGCAGTCCGACTACTGCACTTGTGACAGCGGCGGCTATCTCGTTGTGTCCATTGCTTTCTGAGGAGGGATCATTTAGGCTGTCAGCTGGAGCTAGGCCTTCTGTGGGCAGAGCGGCCTGGGCAGCGGCTAGTTGCTGGGCTGCCTGAAGCTGCTGTTGCTGATGAACCAAAGCCGCCAGTTCCTGCTGGGTCAGAACGATGGGTATGGTGTGGGTCTGCTGGTCTTCTCCGGCATCTCCGTCACCTGAGCCTGAGGGGGAATGAGGAAGAAGATGCTTACTAGGGCTGTGCTCAGAATATCGATACAACGATATATCGTCATGAACTCCTGGCGATACGCGTATCGATATACAGCAGCTGCCGTATCGATTCTTTTGTGCTTTTGAATGTAGCCAATTCAGGGCTCCAATTTCGGCGCGGGATTGCGCATAATTTGAATAATTCCCGCAGTTTATAATGCGGGAAATTCCCAGAAACATTGATTCACTTTAGCATGTAGGTTGTAGTATTAGTAAATGAATCCACACAGATTATAAAATCAAATCAGTCATTTTAAAACTTTCTGTGAGACGCAATTTCACAAACAGCGTGAGTTCAATGCAGTGCTGCGTCTCTCTCTCTCTCTCTCGTCTCGGGCAAGCGTCCAGCGCTGCAGCCGGTGAAACTACACGCTCACGGTTAGGAGTCGGGACATGACGGAATATTCACTTGCATAATCGGGCCATCGTGACTGAAGTTTACCATTTGCATGTCTTTAAGTCTTACCAGTTTAAACATTCAAACGATTTAAAACTATTCAGTACTTGCGCGCTCTCTGAGAGTTGGTTTTCTCTGCGTGCACATAGACTAGAGTAAAGCCGCCTCACATACAGCTCGCGAGATTATATCGCTTTAACAGACTAAAAGATGCAAAATGATGTCAAAAATTTCGTTCTTGGTAAGTATCCTATAAACACAGCTGGTTATGTCTTAAATATGCATAAAGGTTTTTAGCAGAAACGGCAATTCCCCGGTTGCATGATGAGATTAAGAGAGATATTCTGCTGTCACTCTCTTAACCCTGAGCATGTCAATTAATTGTTGTTTCTGCATAAAAATTTGAAAATGTAACCATTTAAAATGATTTCAACGTAGAAGAAATGACTTTGTTTGGTGCACATTCCAACACTTAAGACCTGTTAAATACTAGGTGTTTAAAAGAGTTTGAGAAAACGAAGTTAAATTTAAGTTGTTACCGTTTTTGCTTTTATAGAATGTTTTAAGTTTTGTTTAGTCATTGAGCAGTGTAGACATGCTTCAGTGTCACTATAATTGTCATTTCAGTTATTGAGGCAGACTTTAAAAGCAGAAGGAAGAGCCATTCTTAGCTTTTTTATTCATTTAACTCATTGTTTTTCAGTTATCGCAACTGTTATAACACTGGTTATTCAATAAGCAGATATTACTGTTACTAAACTCAGCTCAAAAGAAATTTAAATTCCAAATTGATCCATATCGTGATACATATCGTATCGTGGCTTTAGTATCGTGATACGTATCGTATCGTGACATTGTTGGTGATACACAGCCCTAATGCTTACTGTGAGTTTTAGACTGATTTTGAGGTTGGGATTTTGTGGATAAAGGATGGCGACTCACTCATAACAGCCTGCTGTGCTGCTTGTAGTACAGCCTGGATGGCGAGGGCCTGGGCCTCCTCTGTCGCTGCAGCCTGGGCCGCTGCCTCTGCGGCTGCCGTAACAGCCAGCTCCTCTGGGGTCAGACCAGTCACCATCAGCGTTGTGGGTTGTACGTCCGACATCAGCTCTGGTGGCAAGGCCAGTGCCTCGGCCTGTGATGCTGATGCCGCGTCTACACCCTCCATCTACAAGAAAAGAACAGCATTTATTGACATAGTAATAGAAATTATGTAACATTATAAATGTCTTTACTGTCACTTTTAATTACAGCTGTTTTTTTTATATATATATTAAAATTTATCTATTTTCTTTAGATATTAGATCATTTGTCCTTACTCGTATTAGAAAAATGAATCATTAAAAGTAGTATGCATTAGTCTTAATTTGCAATAATAACTGGCAATTGTACAGCCTGAATGCAAATGACTATACCTCTGCTGTTGGTAGCTGCTCCTGAGCGGTTTCTCCCTCTGCCATGCTAGAAGCGTCATGCTCCATGGGCACTGCCCCTGCCTCTGCCTGGCTCTCTGCCTGCATCGCTACCGCCATGGCTTCTCCCTGGAAGTCACTTGGCAAGGCCGCTGCCTCCGCCTGGAAGTCACTAGGCATAGCTACTGCCCCCACTTCTGCCTGGAACCCTGCCTGCATAGCAACTGCCTCCGCTTCAGCCTGGCCTTCTGTCTGCAAGGACTCTGCCTCCGAGCTCTCCATAACAACCGGCTCAACTCCTGCCTCTGAGGATGACTCCGTGATGGAAGAAATAGACTGCAGGAGAAGGACAGAGAAAGAAAAATTGGTGATGATAGGAATCCCTCTTTTTTTCTCAACCCTCCCCTCCTACCACCTTCAATCTAAAATTTAGGTCGGCTTCAAATTCAATTGTATACATCAGCCTACAACTTCTGTAATCTGGATGCAAATATGATATTGAATGAGTGAAGTAAAGTTAGGGTATCTGCTGAGTTTTTAAAATTAAATTTAAGACTTAAATTTAATTTAACTTTTGAGTAACATTTCCTGTTTCATATGCATTACTACAATTCACACCCCACCACCAAAAATATATCTCTGATTATTTTAATTAGTATTGTGTTGATACTAGTAAAATAAAAAATAACTAGAAAAAAAATTATGAATAATACAGAAGATCATTAACAAGCCCAAAATACACGGGACGTTTATTTTGAAATGTCCGTGCTTGACTACTTCCAGCTGCTCATTTGAAAAGATGATGGAGATCAAATTTATTATAAAGTATCTTACAACCATCTACAATGTATTACAATATAAAAACCATAAAGTAAACTATCACAATTCAGCAACAGTGGATCATAAGTAATGGCTTGGCATAAATATGCGAATTTCACTGACTGCAAACTGCTCTGAAACCACGTGCAACAGAGCCACGTTTTGACTTTGAACATGCAGAAAATGTATTTAATTCAATCATCTTTTGAATCTATCACGATTCCTGTTTTTTAGTTCCCAAATTTAAGAACCCTTAAAATTACTTTTCTTTGACAATTTAAGACTTTCTATTAACTTAAATTTGATCAAACTGAACTTTTTAAGGACCCACAAAAATGGGTAGCATTTTGACTTAACGTATGTCGATTGCATTGGATTAATAATTTAGCATCAAACAGAAGTACAGAGTTTGTTTCTCCACTCACTGGAACAGCTGGTCCGGGTAGAGGCGTGGCCTGTGTGACTGTGGTAATGGCTCTGCTCTGGGGCGCAACAGTGGACGGCAGGCCCTCTGTGCTAGTGGTAGATTCTGATGCTTCATCACTCTGCTGGGCTAAACGCACAAAATAAATCATTACCATAAACCTTTAAAAGACAAAAGTACAAATGGGAACAAACAAGAAAAAGGAAACTAGTTAAATTTTCCCATGGCAAATTTAATTTAACCAGTTTCATATGCATTTCTAAAATTCACACCCCACAAACCAAAAAGATATTAGCTTTCGTATTTTTCAGGTAACTAACATCAACCAGCTACACAGGATTTTTAGTAGCTTTTCAGACCACTAGTCTGAAAGAATGGTGAGAAAATGTATTTGGTGTTGAAAGAGCAAAGTCATTTGCTTTATCGGTGAACAAATTTGGTGAGATTTCCTACAATAAATGGTAAATGGACTGCATTTATATAGCGCTTACACAGACCCAATGCCTCACATTCTGCCCATACATTTTGCCTCACATTCACCCATTCATGACACCCGACGGCGGTGAAAGCCATACAAGGCACCATCCAGCTCGTCGGGAGCAGCTGGGGTTAGGTGTCTTGCTCATGGACACCTCAACACTTGGTCAGGTGGAACCGGGGATTGAACCACCAACCTTCCGGTTTGTAGACAACCTACATGAACCACTGAGCCACTGCCTCAAACTGTTTTCAGCCAAGACGTATTAAAATGGATATTTTTATAATGTTGCAGAAGATTTCTATTTCAAATAAATGAATTTTATATGATAATATTTATGAAAATAAATTAATCTTTTTTACTTTGATAATAGTAAAAAAAAAAAAAAAAAAATCTTGACCACCAAATCAACATTTCTAAAGGGTCATGAGACACTGAAGACTTTAATGATGCTGAAAATTCAGCTTTGCCATCACAGGAATCAATTATATAGAAAACAGTTATTTTGAATTGTATTTTGTATATTTCACAATATTACTGTTTTACTGCATTAGAAACCCAACCAAAACTTTCGATTGGTAGTGTAAATAATGTTTGTGTGAAAGCTTAAGATGAATCTTTCTGAAATCTGAAGTACCTGTTCCCTCATCTGTCTCCATACTGCAGGTGGCAGTGGTGGCCGTGTTGGTGGTGCCCGTCTCGTGGGTCTCACAAGGTGGATTTGAGCAAACTCTCTGCACCTCTCCCGTTTGGTTTCCGGCCATGTTTGATGAAGATGTGGTTGCTGTGTTGGTGGTGCCCGTCTCGTGGGTCTCACAAGGTGGATTTGAGCAAACTCTCTGAACCGCTCCCGTTTGGTTTCCTCCCATGTTTGATGAAGATGTGGTTGCTGTGTTGGTGGTGCCCGTCTCGTGGGTCTCACAAGGTGGATTTGAGCAAACTCTCTGCACCTCTCCCGTTTGGTTTCCACCCATGTTAGATGAAGCCGTGGTGGCCGTGTTGGTGGTGCCCGTCTCGTGGGTCTCACAAGGTGGATTTGAGCAAACTCTCTGCACCTCTCCCGTTTGGTTTCCACCCATGTTAGATGAAGCCGTGGTGGCCGTGTTGGTGGTGCCCGTCTCGTGGGTCTCACAAGGTGGATTTGAGCAAACTCTCTGAACCGCTCCCGTTTGGTTTCCTCCCATGTTTGATGAAGATGTGGTTGCTGTGTTGGTGGTGCCCGTCTCGTGGGTCTCACAAGGTGGATTTGAGCAAACTCTCTGCACCATGCTAGCAGGAGCAGTGCCCATACTTGAAGATGCTGTAGTTGCTGTGTTGGTGGTGCCTGTTTCGTGGGTCTCGCATGGTGGGTTTGAGCAGACCCTCTGAACACCACCCATGTTGGCAGATGCTGTGGTGGCAGTGTTTGTTGTACCCGTTTCATGCGTTTCGCAGGGCGGGTTGGAGCACACTCTCTGTACTGTGCCAGCTGGTCCAGTGCCCATATTTGCCGTCGCTGTGGTGGCCGTGTTGGTGGTGCCCGTCTCATGAGTCTCACAGGGGGGGTTGGAGCACACTAGAGTAACAGTGCCAGAAGCTTCGCCTGCACCAGACTCAGTAGAGGTGGGCTGCTCAGACGTGGGAGAGGCCAGAATGGAAACGGGCAGATCTTGGCCAGCCTGAGCCTCCACACCAGTGGGTGTAGTTATGAGAGTCACCTGGGTGGGCTATTAAGAAAAGACGACAAAATGAGTGACTAGAGTTATTTTTTCAGTGAATTAAATTTAAATATTGTGTAAAACTGTTCATTTTAAATACAGCATTTTTTTTGTATCCTTATAACAGAAGTAATTATAACTATATGTTAATGATATAAAATACTATTATACTTTATATAAAGTATACTACAGTTTGGGGTCAATTTTTTAAAGAAATAACATTTATATTCAGCAAGGACACACTAAATTGTCATTTATAGTTTTAAAAAAATGTAGATTTCTACATCAAATAAATGATCTTTTTAATTTTGTTCAAAGAATCCTGAAAAACAGAACCATTATAAATATAAGAAGAAGAATAAATGTTCCTTGAACACCAAATGACTTCAGTCTTCAGTGTCACATGATCCTTAAGGAGTAATGATGCTGAAAATTTAGCTTCACATCACAGGAATAATACAAAATAAAAACTGCAGCCATATCACTTCATAGGGGGAAAATATAATTCGAATTTTTCAGTTAATTGTGTAAACATTGCGTACAATTATTTATAAAATATTTAACTGTATAATATACTTACATAATAGCTATAAAAATAACTTAATGACACACAAAATGGCTGCAGTAATTAAAGAATAATTATATACAAATAAAAATCTAATCAGAAAAGATAATCTGGTTCTAACCTGCATGTTGGAGGTGACAGTGGTCAGGTTGGTCTGAGCAGCTGACACAGCAGTGGCATTGATGACCTGGTTGGAGAGGGTGGCAATCGTACCCAGAGTGGTGATGGGGGTTGCCAGGGTGGCATTGGCACTGGCTAGGCTTCCTCGGGCTAAGCTAGTAGAAACGGTTCCTGTGACTGTGCCAAGAGTTGTTACACCTTGGAAAGAGGACAGACACGGCGAGAGGGAAATACTTTAATCATTCATCAATAGCAGTTGCTGAATTACACTTGGCAGAAAAGCATGAAGTCTTTCAGGAACATTAACTTTTGACTATCAAGTTCACATCCTTACCAGTTGTTCCCTTGACAACCAGCGTGGTTACAGTTGGCTTGACCCCAGATACTGGAGACACGAGACGCACTCCTCCCATCGGCATGGTGCGAAGAATGGTTCCAGGCTGACCAGGGGCTCCCTTCAGAACAACCTTAGGAGACGAAAACCCAACCCAGGTAAGAAAACGGACCTTCAAGTGCTCCAAGGACATCAGCTTTCCACCATTTTTGCACCACATATTCTGACCCCAATACCTGTGTTAGGCCTTGCTGGCCAGCTGCTGTACCAATCTTAGGCATTGCTGTAATGAATTTTCCAGGAGTTCCTGTTCCAGATGTCATCACCTTCGTGGTGTAGATGGTAATGGGGCTCTTCATCCCAGTACTACTAGTCACGCCTACAACGGAAAACAGGCACTCATTAAGTACAAGTAAATAAAAACTATATAAATCTATTACTACTACGAACTATTATTATTAGTTGTGAACATTAATAATTATATACATTTAATAATACATATATAAATTAAAAATACAAAACTGTTCTGCACATCCCAAACACCCATATTGGGCTCAGGTGCAGGACAACAAAGTAACAAACGAAAAAAAGAAGCTATTAATTGTGCAATTAATAAATTCATTTGGAGCAGCTATTTTTAGTGTGCGGACTTCACGCTTCTTTTACATATATAAATTAAACAAATAAATATAAAAGTATTATAATTGCAACTAATTGTTATTAATATTATTTTAGTTGTTAACAGTAATAATAATAATTTAATGACACTTAAATATAAATAAAACAAATGTATTTAGTATTATTACTACTAGTAGAAATTATTATAGCTGTAGTTAACAACAACAATAATAATATTACTGACAAATTATTAGGGCTGTCAGTTAAACGCGTTATTAACGGCGTTAACGCAAACCCATTTTAACGGCGTTAATTTTTTTATCGCACGAGTAACGGTCTTTTTGGCCTAGCAAACTTTGTAGTTTTTTTTTCACATGCTTTTGCAACAGGATGGCATGCGGGCGTTTTGAATCTACAAAACAACAGGCACGCTGCACACACTTGTTTGGGCTTGCGAGCCGGATGCGCGAGCGCAAATCTCTCTGCTCGCGCGCGGAATATAATGTGCCGAGCACGAATCTCTCTGCTCGAGTCGCGCGCTCTCAGATACACGCTGCTCTTGTAAGAATTTTCTCTGGGCTCGCTCAGAGAATATACCTGCACTTAAAACGTGTTCAGTGCAATCGCGAATCTCTCCTCTTCCCCAGCTAACAATTTTAGGTTATAAGAACGTTTTCATAACGTTCCCATTAAGTTATAAAAACGTTATTTCGGAACGTTCAAAACGTCCAGTTTTGAGTGGATGACGAGCGCGAGACGCCGAAATGGATGCCAATAAGATTCTGAATGGAAAGTTTACTTTTAAAAAGTTGTCAAATGCTTCCATTGACAAGACCAAAGTGATCTGTGTGTTTTGTCGTTGTGAACTGATCATCATCGCAGCACGTCCAGTCTGAATACCACTTGATGATGGCCAGCACACACACACACACAGCTGATGCGAATTCTCCGCCCCCTCGTCAATATCAGGACTTTGTCAGTATTTATTTCACCCTTTTATTGATGGACAGTGTTACATTGTGTGAGAGATTATTTGCTCCAAGTGATAATGTTTTAGTGTGAAATTGAACAGTATATGCCAATATTGTTTTCAATGAAAAACATTTGCACAAAGCAAGCCGATCCACTTTTCCATGTTGATAAGAGCATTAAAATGAGAAAAAATTATGGGACAAAAAGAAATCAAGAGACATTTAGAATAGATAAAAATGTGATTAAAATACAATTAATCGCGAGTTAACTATGACATTAATGCGATTAATCGCGATTAAATATTTTAATCGTTTGACAGCACTACAAATTATATATTACTACCTCTCCTACTACTAAAAATTAATCATTAATATCTCTTTATTCTGGACAACAAAACACAAAAATGACTAGGGTTGGGTATAATTTGTTTTTCTTTCTCGATACTGGTGCCAAATCGATACTTTTAAAACGGTACCAGTGACTAAACCGATACTTAAAAAAAAAGAGCCTCGAAACTATGGTGAATGACATTAAAGACTGGCTTTTTTTTATTGAAAAAAGTAAATAAAAATTCTTAAAATTGAACAATATATTAAAAATTAAGTATACTTAAATATATAAATATAAGTAGCCAAAATAGAAAACACCACTTCACAATAAATCTAAGCCACCTAACCCAATTACAATTTAACACTAAATCACACTAAAAAACAGTTACAGTACTAATAACAGCAAAGTAGTCTGTATTCTCGTATTCTCTGTTACAAACTAGCTTTAAAGTTCAGCTATTTTTTTGCAGAAATAGGACCACATTTTTGCTTTCTCTGGCAAAATACGACACCTCTCTTGACTTATTGCATGTCCTGCACAAGGTGAGCGTTATTTTAGAACATCACCTTAAATGTCGTGACACGAAACCCCTTGTGGAAGAACGCCATCATGTTTACAACTGGATTTTCAAAAGTATGAAGTTCATGGCTCTATTGTTGCAGTAAACCTGCACAACGTTCTTGAATGATAAATTTATTAGATGTACGCCGGTCTGTTATTGTAGGGACATCGACTCTACATTTTCACACTAAACATACGTGGAACAAAACGAACTGTGATTGGTTGCGTTACATGTCAGTCAGTCCTTGGCTGATATTTTTTATTCTTAAATGCATGTAAGTGAATGTGTTTTGTCATTTAAGAAACTTTTATAATGATCATGATTCATGTTAGTTGACCTATAATGCACAATGGGCGCCATGTTAGTACGCACCGCAGTTCAGAGAATTGTATCTGTTAGATTTACAACACGTCAATTCATCCATTTCTCCCGAATACATGAAAGTAAATGAAGTGTGAGAGGAATAGAGTAAATTTTATAGTTACCTACACAATGTGTATCTAAACACGTCATCAATTTATATCTGCGTTTTGAAACGCTCCGGTTACATAGGTACCGGGTCCATATTCCATATAAAAATGACACTTCTTGACAAAATGGTTTACCTGCAGCTCCCTGCTGTAGAGCAGACATTGGAATTGTTTTAATGATAGTGGTAGTGCCCGGTTTGTTGGTTGTGGGGGACATGCCACTGATGCCCAAGATAGTGGGCTTGTTTCCTGTGCCACCGGCTTGACTGGTGGTAATTATGGTAGTTGGTTTTCCATCCGCAGATGTTACCAGCTTCAGAATGGTGCCAGGTGGAAGGGTACCCTTTGACTATGGAATGAGAATGATGTTAAAATTTATATTATTTCAAATTATAAATAATGTGAGTGTCTGAGAAACTTACAACTAGTTATACTTATGTTTAACATACTTGTAAAATCTGAGCCAGAGGGTTGGAGGAGGCCTGTCCAGTCAAAGCAGCCGTCTGGACTGGTTTGGTCTGTACCATTGACACCATCTTGCCCAAGTTAGAGATCTAAAACAAGAATTTTTTTTAATTAAATAATAAATAATGTCCATTTAATGTTTTTACCATTCAGGTTTTTCCCATGCCAGAATTTAAAATATACTGTACCAGGTTTCCTCCCATGGAAAGTGGACTCTTGACAAGAGTGATGGTCTTGGTGACTCCGCCCACCATAGTGGTCACAACCTGAGCCTGCTGTGCTACGGTAACTGTGCCTGACTTGTGCACTGTGATGATGGGCCGAGCACCTGTATTTGGACTGGAAACTGTCGGAGTGCCCACCTGTGCAGCAGCGGTCTTCAGCATGCGAGTGGCAGGGTTGCTTACCTACGACCAAAACCAAAAAAAATTGTCATGAGACTAGGTCTGGTCGATATGACTGCAGACGAGCAACGTGACAAATTGCCACATAAATATAGAATTTAACGGATGTGTGGTCACACTAGCTTATGCAAGTTTTGAATTCAGCTCATTCAATCAAAGCTTTGCAGTTTTGAGTGTTTTGTTTTTGAACTCAAACATTACATAATGTGAAGGTATGCTACCTTTCAAAAATGTTGGGTTCTGCAAGCCTCTTATGTTCACCAAGGCTGCATTTATTAGATAAAAAATACAGTAAAATAGCGAAATAACCATTTTAATTTATTTATTCCTGTAATGGCAAAATGCATTGGTGCTCAAGAAACATTTATTATTACCAATGTTGAAAACAGTTGTGCTGCTTAATATTTTTTTTAATATTTACATGCAAAGTGGGATACTTCAAGCCTTTATTTGTTATAATTTTGATGATTCTGGCTTACAGCTTATAAAAACCCCAAATTCAAAATTAGAATACTGTGAAAAGGTTTTCATAGCTGTAAGCTATAATCATCAAAATTATAACAAATAAAGGCTTGAAAAATCTCACTTTGCATGTAATGAGTTTATATAATATATTAGTATCACCTTTTAAGTTGAATTACTGAAATAAATGAACTTCTGCACGATCTTCTAATTTTTCGAGTTTCACCTGTATATCTATAAAGGGAACTGACTGTCTTCTACTGTTGAAATGAGTATTCCATAGATACCCAGATGGTCTACTTTTTCAGGTTAGAATCTTAAGTTCAGATCCATGCACACTCTTAATGGCTAACATTGCCCACAACTCATTGCATGTTGGACGAGTATTCGATTGGAACTACAAATGTGAATAAAAGGCAAAAAAAAAAAAAAAAAAAAAAAAAACTACAAACATGGTGGGTGTGCGAGTCCAACGGTTAAGATAGAGGTTTGAGTGATTAATAATCAGTAATCTAACCTGACAAAAATATATTTATTCAATGTTATCCACATTATCTTTCATTTGCAACATTATCGTGAACTTTTGTGATCCGTTAAAGATGCAATTATGATGAAGTAGTATGTCCCAAAGCTTGACAACTCTTCTGCTACACACTCAAAAGCATGTACGTTTCCTTCACAACAGTACATACTTGTAGAGCACACTATAAATAGGTGAATTGGGATGCAGCAACAGTGACAATCTTAAGATAATTACCATGACAGGTGATGCCACTTTAACTGTGGTGGGGTGAGTGGTGGACCCAGGTGTCATAGCCATTGTTTTGACAATTGTAGCCCCAGCCTGCATACTGAGAACAGTGGCTCCGGGGGAAGGAGGGATTTTCTGTGTGGCTGCAGCAGCTGCAGCCAAAGCTGCCATTCCACTCATCTGAGGGCTGCTGCCGATGACCTGAAAAACAAAAGATTAAACACTTGAATAAAACAATTTATGAGACATCAACGGTTTTAAAGATTCTACCTTTAATATTCACTTCCTACCGTTCCTTGAGTGGTCTGTGGTGGCACTACCATGCGAACACCTGCAGGAAGTGATGTCACAGTGACTGGGGATTTTCCAGCCTGGCTGGCTTGGCGCACAGTGACAATCGATGCCCCGGTGCCTGACTGAGGGGCTGCAACTTTCAGAATAGCTTAAATATAAAATAAAATAAAATTAAATGATCATTTAATACAAATACTATGAAAAAAAAATGCTTTAATTTAATATTACATTTAAGTAAACTGAAAATATTGCTGAACAATTTAACAAATCTGTACCTGGGCCACGCGCCGTTGAGGCAGCCAGAGGACTTGCGGGCGTGGTGGGTAAAACTGAGGCAGTGGGTGAAGCAGCCTGGGGCACGAAGGTGATGCCACTATGCGGCAGACTCTGAGCAGACGGAGCAGCTGCAGCGGGCGCTGGACTCTTAGGCGAGTTTCCAGGGAGGGAGGGAGCTGCATTGAGGGCTGGTGATGTGGCAGCAGTGGCTGTTGGGATATCATATTTCTGAAGCTGAAGCAGGTACATGTCTGCTGTAGACACCGCTCCCCAGCTAACCTCTAAAGAATTTGTGTTGGCCCGGACGAGCTGTACCCGTGAAGGAGGATTAGGTCGCTCTGCGAAAAAAGAACGAAAAAAAATGAAAGGTCAAATGATGCATGATTTAATACATTCAGCTTATGCAAAAAATACTACTCAATATGTAACTTTTTATGCATTTGGATATTTTTACAACGCAGTTTAACTGTGTCAGAAATACTTTTTACTGCATATCTTCTTTGCTCACCTGTCTCTAGGTACCACAGGTCTTTGCAGCACACCTGATTGTTCCAAGCTTTGCGGTACCCATCACGTCCACTCCAGACATAAAGTCTGTTGTTAATGGCAACAGTGCAATGTCCTGCTCGTGCACGTGGTATGTTGTCCTCCAAAGTGTCCATCAAAACGGTCTCCCATGACAAGGCGTCTAAAAGGAAGCTCATTTTTTAATTTTAAAGTATATGGCATAATATGAAAAAAATGCACCAATAAATAGGGCTCAGTAAAATAGTCCAAACATTTCACACACATGAATGTCATGTTACCAAACATTAAAGTACCAGTATATACTACCATTCAAATGATTTAAAGAAATTCATACTTCTATTCAGCAAGGATGAATTTAAATGATCAACATTAACAGCAATGACATTTGTTACAAAAGATTTCTATTTCAAATAAAAGTTGTTCTTCTGAACTTTATGTACATCTTCATGTTTCCACAGTTTTCAACATGAATAAGAAGATATGTTTCTTCAGCAGCAAATCAGCATATTAGAATTATTTCTGAATTATCATGTGTATAATAACAGGCCTTTAGTTAAATAAAATAGTAAATTGTTTTCACTTTAAACACTACATGTACTTTGTAGCAAGAACATACCCAAGTTCAGGCAGGCCAGTGTGTTTGTACACTTCCATTCCTTCTCATGTGTGGCCACCTTCACATCATCCATCACCAGGGGAACCCAGCCACCGAAAACATACATTCTACAAATAAAACATATAAAGGGATTAAAGCTCAGTAATGCCATTGTGTACATTTAGAGAATGCATGTGGTGAAGCAATTCTAGATTACACTGAAACTTACTTGTTTGTAATAGTGGTGGCTGAGTGGAGGCTACGGGGGAGGGGAGCAGTGCCGCTTATTGCAGGCTTGTTCCAGGTCAGCGTATCTGAAAAGCAAAGAATGGCCTAATTATTGCTTAACCCAATTGATTGATTGAATGAATTAACTATTTGTGGCAAACACCACAGCAAAAACAGCCATAATCTTCATACCAATATCTAATGTCCAAAGATCTCCCAAACGACAACCACTCATTCCTCCATATATAACAAGACGGGACTTCTTAGTAGTTTTTTCAGTATAAATTACAGCAGTGTGGCTCTCTCTCGGAGGAGGCAGTACTCCATACGTGACCGGTATATCCCAGCCCACAACGTTGGAGCCCGGACGCAGTTCGAGGGTATAAAGGTCATTCAAATATCTGGAAGCACACATAAGTGAGTCTATGAATAAAACAATATAAATACATTTATTTACTAACCACATTATTATATGGTAGGAATACCTGGGAATGTTGTTCTTGGGGTCTTCGCTGTCATTGGCAAGCCCCCCAAAAAGATAGCACTTGTTGCCCACAAGAGAAAAACTGTGGCCCAGACGAGGACATGGTGGTGCTCCATTTTTAGGGGCTTTTGGTTTCAATTTTTTCCATTCCCACCTGCTTGCCTGATAATCGAGACCATAGCGAGATAATTTCAGATCTGTACTCACAGAGTCAACAACAGTCAATAAAGGCTGGACTACACAACATGACTTAAAATCTGAGCAGATTTTAAAACTTCATAAACCGTTACAGAGAAAAACCGGGCATCATACACTACAGAAATGAGGATTGCTCACTACTGTGACGGTCTCGGACCAGTCAGCTCCTCCTCCTTTGCAGTTTGCTGTTCATTACGTCTCCCCTATAGGTGAGAGGAGCGCAGGTGTGGTGTGTTGCAGATGATTGCTCCAGGACCGCGTGTGGTTGCTTCCAGTATCCTGGGTGTTAAAAGCTTTCCAGACTTGGTTGAAAGAGGCCACCGCTTCTCCCTCTCTCCCGCACCGTTTTGCTGATTTTTGTTTCTTTTTGCATGACACTTCACATACCCTGATTGCTTTTGTTTTCGTTTCAGGTTGTACATTTATACTGACTTTAATTATTTTATGTTACTCATTCTATGTCTTTAATAAATATATCATTTGAAATCAAATAATCCGCGTGGTCTCCCCTCTCTGTTGCATAGGCTGGCACGGGCTGTATGTAACAGATTGGTGGCTCGTCAAGGGATTTGAACGTTCGGGATCTGAAACGACAAACAGACTGGGGGGCTCGTCAAAATAAGGATTTGAAACGACATCGGTAAATATATTTTTGATGCTTATATCTAGGTTTTGAATGGCCTGGGCGTTAGAAGCTTTAAATATATTAGGACCGTTGCATTTAGGTAGGCCTACGTTTGATTTGGAAAGCGCTTTGATAGTTCATTGAGTTGAACGTTTTGTTTTGAATCATTGGGAAGACGCATGTGGATTAGTTTGAAATTAGTTGCGTTTAAAATTATTTAATTTATTTTTTGTTGGTGGTGCAGAGAGGAGGAGAATATTTTTGTTAAATTTGTGCCTGGGTTGTTTTTGAAGTAAGCTGGGTTGAAGAGTTTGCGGTGAGCCATTGTTGGGTGAGTGTGGGTCTGTGCAAGATTGAGTTATTAATAAAGTATTCGATAAGATAATCATCGGAGCTTTGCGAGTGCCCGTCAAGTTTTAATGTTTGTTTGTTATTTTAGTTTGTTATTTTTGTGCTATCCTGGGCAGAGGGCACCGTCGTGGACGCCTGCTTTAACGGCATTTTGTCGGGGGAGTTAAGGCACCGCTGATATTGTGTATTAAAAATCTCTGTCCTTGGGATAGGCATGAAGAGGATTGTTGTTTTTCGTGTTTTTTTGGGGGGGGTTTTTATAGGGCAGCTCCGTTTTGTCTCGTCTTGATGCACAGTGTTGTGGCCACACTTACAATTTGAAAAGGTGAGCTTGTTTTTTTTCTTTAGTAGGTTATCTGTAAGAATTGTATGCTGTAGAATTAGTTTAATTTTTATGGCTAGTTTGGAGGATTTTTTTGTAGCTCCATCTGTGGAGGTTCTGAATAATTTGACAAAGGATCAGTTGCGTCAAGTTTGTGAACATTATAACTTTGATTTGGGTTTACCCAGAACAGCGAAATTAGCCCAGATTAGAGTGTCAGTTCAGGCGGAATTGGTCGTTAGGAATATTCTTTCGTCACCTGCATCTCTAATTATGGATGAGTTAGAGTTCGGAGAAGCAACGTCACACTACCAGACTTTCAAGTCGTTCCAAACACAAACTCGCGCAGATGCACGCACAATCATGGCTATAAAGATGTATGGCAAATAAAAACAATCTTAGAAAAAAATTAAATCAAACATGTTTGATATCATCCGACTGGATGGAATCATAGTCTGAAGCTGAAAAAATGGAGTTCATGCCCATGATATACTATGCGATTTTCTGTGAAATCTGTCAATGGACTGCCCAAAATCAGCAGACCAGATATGACTTTCAGCGACTAGCATCAAGTCCTCCATACTACAAACCTGGGCAAAAGTCATGTAGTGTATTCCAACCTTTAGTCACATAACAGAGTGATTTTAAAGAAGTTTTTCCTTACCTGTAACTCATAAAGGTCATTGCTGTACTTTCCATATTCCACCATTCCACCAAACACTAATAGTCGTGTACCATCACATACAAAACCATAAGCCGCACAGCCTGGAGGAATGTCTCCGCGAACAGCTGGTATGAACCACTGGTTTGTTGCTGAAAAAGAAAAAAATATTGAATTGTTCAGTCAATGTCTCAGTGATAAGGTATAGACGACTTGCAATAAAACTCTTGCAATTCAGCTTCTCTGGAAGTGAAGCCAATGTCAATAAAAAACACTTCAAAAATTCAAAGCACTTTTTAACTATCAAAATAACAAAATGGAGAGTAGGACAAAATTCTGAGAAATGGGGAGGTTCAAGTTTGGTGAACGGTAGTCTCAGCCTCAGCCCACGGACGGTTGGCTGAACGTCTGATGCATATGACACACTTTTCTGGAAACACTTCAGGAGTTACATCACGCTGTGATCTCTAAGCTGAATTAAAAGAACACAAACTTTGCCGTGTCTAAAGAAATTTTGCTCAAGTTTAGTGAGACTGCCTTCAGAATTAAATGACAAGAAGATAATTTTACTGAATAGCAAGTCAAAGAAATGCAAGAGTCACAGAGGAATTATGTTTTTGGCTTCATTAAGGAAGACAGTGAGGTAAATAAGAGCATTCTGGAAATCAAGTGTTCTTCCACTATGACCCATAAATGAAAGTTAATTTATAAAATGCAATTCACATATTACTATAGAAAGCACTTTAAACGTTTTATCAATATCATATAACATTTCTGGAAAAACCTAAGGCATCTAATTCAAGGTCTACAGCAGCCTAATTTCCACATTATTGCTAGCGTCATTGTGGGCTAAAACAGCCACAGTGCTCGGAGAAAGATAACAAAAAGGCGCTCTGGTGCACGTGCAGGAGGGGCGTGCGCGTGACGCGGCGGCGGTCAACGTCCATTTATGTTTTATGGCGCCTTTTTCCCTCACAACACAACAGTCGACCTGCAGACCAGGTGCGGCTCTGAACCACCACAAACATTGCAAAAATCACACGGATTGTTTCCTATACATATGTAAGCAAAATTGATAGTTTTCTGCGTAAAGCAGACATGTGACTATGGCTACGTTTTCATCCTCTCGCGTTAGAAAAGATAACGTTACTGAAAACAGAGCACATTTAGCAGCGATTTGCAAGCATTACGTAGCTTGTATGCATACAAACTTTACGCACATACAAACATTTTCCTTACCAGTATTATAAACGTGCAACTCGTCAACGATTCCTTCGTTTCCTCCACCGAAAACGACCATCAGCTCCTTGATGGCTACGGCTCTGTGTCCGTGTCTCGGTCGGGGTACCGGCCCGGACCACCCCAGAACCCGCTTCCATCGCGGCTGCAGTGCAGCTCCGGTGGTTCCAGGCACAACGGAACCGGGGGACGTCATGTCCTTTTACTGGAAAAAAGAATGCACATCAGCGACTCCTAGCCACAAATATATATCCGTTCTGTAAGCCTAAGCCAACGCAAATATTTAACACAAGACCCTGGTATATATTAATAAATACTTTCTGCATTAATATATACATTGTAATAACATTACAGCGGTAACTTACAATTAAAGTCTTAAACAGTGTGGGTTATTCAGAAGTTTGTTTCATTCGGAATGCCGCCATTTTGGCGCTTGTAGGCGGACTAAAAGCCGGTAAACTTGTCTAAAATAACGCGTGCAGCAGCTTAAGCATCGATAATTACACATACAGAAAACCACATAGCACTAAGTTCTAGTTCCAAATGCAAACAACAAAATTACATCATCCAGTTAAATGTCCCTGTTGCAGAAAGAGTATCAACCCATGGAAGTCGCCATCTTGAAACAAGCCTCCGCCAGTCTGAAAAATGGCGGCGCGGCAAATAAAAACAATACATTTTAGTCCGCTAAGTAGCAAATGCAAATAAAACTCTATACAAACTGCGGGAGTTATGTTTTCTAAAATATAATTCAGTGAAACGCTGCAAAACTAAACAAAGATACAAACTCAGAGACTACTCGAAACCCAGTCCCCATTACTGCAGAAGGCTATTTTCATGCCTCTCTGGGAGTCGCCATCTTGTCAGCCGCTCAAAATAGCAACAATAATACATTTTAAACGTGCGATTTTACTCCAGTGCAATGCAGATTCAGAAAATCGACCGAGTTCTGCAATTTCCAAGCGGTCTGGGCATTTAAGCGAGACTTTTGCGCGTGCATGAAATCATGCAGCGGAATGCGGTTACTAACAGCGCAACAAAAACAGACATCTAGTTACGTTGTTACGTCCACAAATAAATACGTAAGCCCAAATACATCCCGATACATACTGTGAGAAAATATGTTTGAGCAAGTCTCCTCCGAGCGAAAAAAGTCGATGGATGAATTTTTATTTAATTCATGCCGCCCCGGTGTAAGCAGCCATCTTGTCGTTAAATCGGCCCACTAGCAGCTCCCACAAGAAAAATGGCGGCTAAGTTTATGTTCGCTATCAAAAAATACACATTTCGGCTTAATGCAGTCTCTTCGCCATCGATCATACGTACGAGATTCGTATTGCAATATCCAGGGAAATCTTTTGATGGTCTGTTTTTGAGATGATAGTCCAGGTTCATCCAAATTTGTTAAGAAGTATCCACTCTCATGCCTGCCTGGAAGCCGCCATGTTCTTGACAATGTACAGCCGCTCCTGCAGCCACCCGCAACAAATATGGCGGAATTACCACGTCCTTAACTAGAGCTCTTTGTGAAACACTCACTTGCAGTTTAGAAATACAATCCTGCATTTCTTTAGCGATGGTTTTATAATTATTATACCATTATAAGTATGTATGTGAGATTAGCTAAACCTATCGAGATAATTTGAACATATTTTTTACGCTTTATATATTTAGGGCTTATTGTCCCACACTAAAGATGGCGACCTAAGTCGAAGTTTATTGATAGATTTTCCTCTCTGTCGCATTTTCGTGCAATCCACAAAAATGCATAAATAAATTTAACTTCATCTTAAATAATACCTCACTTTATCGCCTACGTAAAACCTATTTTGTAATCTTCCTAAAATGTAAACTTTGTTTAAAAAAACTCTTACAAATTCTTAAACTCTTGCAAAAACACTTTTTTTGAAGAACATTAAGGACAGTTGCTTTTGAATAAAGCATTTGTCAAATGCAAATGGCTCATTCTTCAAACTGGAGGGGCAAACCAGAGGCAGAATTTGTAAAAATGCTTGTTTTAACCCATCAACTGTCACCCTCCTTTTTGAGCATAGACCTATTTTTTACAGTCTATCTATGGCATAGACGTGAAAATGCTCAATCCAAACTTAAATGCTTGTAATTCATGAATGCTTTGGAATACAGTCCTAAGTTTGGTCTCTTTTTAAAGAAGACACTCAGCAGCACTTCAAAAAATGTAGTGTAAAAAGTACTGTACTACATTTTTATATCTTATAAAAAATATGTAGGCTCTTTAACAAATAGGCTATCTCTAACCAAGTTGTGTTCCAAATTTGAAGTTGATATCACAAAACTTAAAGTTCCTATGAGATTTTGTTTAGGTGCTATACCAAAAATAGCCAGACATTCCATTGTTTTTTTAACACGTTCTCATGTAAATTTATACATTTCTGTCACAATATCACTTACATCACAAAACAGTCACCAAATATGGAACTTTGAGACTCAGACCTTTCTGACGATATGTGTTTTATCAAGATTAGAAAATTAAAATATTTTTTGTAATATGAAGTATTACACCGACCACTAGGGGGAGGAGCCTGGTTTTAAAGTACCGTTTTCTTGAACACGCAATGTTCGATATCAATACGGTTTTCAGAGGATGAATTTTAAGTTTTTAAGCTTTGAATGATACATAATTTATGATGATTACTAAAATATGTGATTGGAAAAATAGGCAATAAAAAAAGAGCGCCAAACATCCTGCTAGCTGGATGATATCAAAATGTATTGCTGCGTATTTATAATGAGTGACATCCATTGATGTAATGCCACAGAGATAAGGATGGGGGACATAACATTTTTTAAATATGTATTAAAAACAATTAAATTCAATTGTACATGTTAAAGTTTTTTTATTCATAATATAGCCTACACTACAATTCAAAAGTTTGAGGTTGGTACGATTTTATAATATTTTGTAAAGCTGTCTCTTGCTCACCAAGGCTGCATTTATTTGATAAAAAAATACTGTAAAAACAGTAATATTGTGAAATATCATTACAATTTAAAATAGTTTTCTTTTTTAATGTATTTTAAAATGTAATTTATTCCTGTGATTGCCAAGCTGAATTTTCAGCATCATTACTAAGTCTTCAGTGTCACATGATCGTTCAGAAATCATTCTTATATGCTGATTTTGGACTTAGGCGGAGCTGGTGCGCTTGACGACCAAGGTGGATCTGGAGGGAAGGGGTGGAGAGACGCAGCGGCGCGGATGGCTCGTAAGTCAGCGGCGCAGGCAGGGTGACGGCTGACCAAAGTGGAGCCGGAGGGACAAGGGAGCCTGGTGGAGCCACAAGGCTGAGGGTCTCTGGTGGTGCCAAGGCGGTGCCGACAGGTTGACATGTCGAGGGGGAGCGAAGGGATCAGAGGCCGGAGGCGGAGACGGGGGATTCTCTTGCTTAGGCGCAGCTGGAGAGTGCACGACCTGAGCCTTGACCACATCGCGAGGCGTTACAGGCGTTACAGACGAAGGGCGGCAGGCATACAGCTGAGGCGAGGCTGGAGGACTGGCTGAGCTCTGCGGTGAAGGTGAGAGAGGAAAGCTGGATGGGATCAATGACGTTAATTTTCAGCCCATATAGTTCGATGACACCGTTTTCAAGCTGGACCAGAACCAGCAGCAATGAAGACGGAGACGATGATGAAATCGATGATTCAGCGTTGGGTTGGGTGGGAAGCAGTATTCAGGTCTATTAGCCAGTCCTCCGTGTCCAGTTCCACCAGGATTCCCTCTGTCACGGTGGTTGCCGGCTTAGACCCCTGGTCAGATTTACATTTAGGCGTCGGGGTGGCAGTTGGCGCTGTCGTCACAGGCTCTATACTCACGGAGGGCGGAAGCTCTCCGTCTGTGAGGGGCTGGGGCGAATTCTCTAGGGTGGTGGTGGGCTGGGCTCCGGGTCTGGCTGTAGAGATAAAGAACTGAATGACAAGCAGCTCCTGTGAGAACAATCAGTGTCCTAGAAACTAATGAGTGGAAGTCCATGAAAATGAAACTAACTAAACAGAACCGTGACATTGTGAGCGTGATCGCGTTAGATATGATAATCAAAACGATGTTTTGGCAGAGTTTATAGGCACGAGCTGTAAAGTCACAGTGACAGCGCTATTCTGGGGTGCGTTTCCCAAAGCCAACTATGGTCGCAAGTTCCGTCGTTACCAATAGAGTTCAATGGAAATTGCGATCATAGTTGGATAACGATGCTTTCGGGAAACGCACTCCTGGATAGTGGGCGGTGAGCAGCTGCTCATTTGCATTTAAAGATACATGCACGAAAACAGCATGTTTTTGCTTCAACTCAAAAATGGGCATTTACAACATGGTACAGTATATAATAAATTAACTGTGGGGACTTTTGAGCTGAAACTTCACAGACACATTCTGGGGACACCTGAGACTTATATTACATCTTAAAAAGGGACATATACGATTTAAAAAAATGTTTACATTTAAATTAATTAACTATTAAAATGTTAATGTTAAATAGTTGTTTAAAGAACCACATTTTTAATAATTGAGTGCCAGTAATAAATTATAATAATTTAGCAGCAAATCAGCATATTAGAATGATTTCTGAAGGATCATGTGACACTGCTGACAATTCAGCTTTGCCATCACAGGAATAAATTACATTTAAAAAATATATTTTAAATTGTAATACTAACTTTTTACAGATTGCACATATTTTTTTCACCCTACAAATATGCAAATATGTTATGATTTATTGATATTTAAACTTTATTTCAACTGTTGCAAAGAGGGACTTGTCGTTAACTCAAATGATGATTATTGGAATTAAATATAAGTAGTTTATTTGTCCAAGAAATTATTTATGCATCTTTTTTTTTGTTCTATTTGGGTAGACATCTGATTGCAATTTACATGTGAAATTGTGTAATTTAATGTTTTAGATTAAAATTTACCAAAATTTTGATCTAACTTGTGACATGTGTTACGGGTGCGTGGTGGTAGGAAGGATGAGAAGACGAGGATACCAGGAAAACAGGATTTAATAAACAAAAACTAAGGAACCATACAACACACTTGACATAAACGCACCATATACAAACGAGAACCGACAAGGAGTGAGGGAGAACACAGGGTTTACATACACAGAGAACGGATCATGGGAACAAGACACAGCTGGGGAAAATTAACTAGAAACAGGTGAATGAACTGAACACAAACAAGGAGCGGGAAAACTGGGACACATGACTGAACCAAATACACAGAGACGGGGGAAACTAAAGAGTCAAACTGTGACAGTACGCCCCCTCCCAAAAAGGCGCGACCTCGCGCCGTATAACATCAATGGGGTGGGGGGGTGGGCGCCCTGGAGGCTGAGGAGGGCGAGGTCTGGAGCAGGAAGCCTCCAGGGCGGAGCAGGACGTGGACGTGACCAGGGCGGAGCAGGACGAGGGCGTGGCCAGGGCGGAGCAGTAAGTCCAGGCGGCCAGGGTGGTGCAGGACTTGGGCGTGACCACGGCGGAGCAGGACGAGGGCGTGGCCAGGGCGGAGCAGTAAGTCCAGGCAGCCAGGGCGGTGCAGGACTTGGGCGTGACCACGGCGGAGCAGGACGAGGGCGTGGCCAGGGCGGAGCAGTAAGTCCAGGCGGCCAGGGCGGTGCAGGACTTGGGCGTGACCACGGCGGAGCAGGACGAGGGCGTGGCCAGGGCGGAGCAGTAAGTCCAGGCGGCCAGGGCGGTGCAGGACTTGGGCGTGACCACGGCGGAGCAGACGCACCCTCGGGCGTCCAGGGCGGAGCTGTTGGACCCTTGGGTGGCCATGGCGGTGACGCATCTTCAGGTGACCTATATCCCCCCCCCAAAACTTTCTTGGGGGGAATCACAGGCTCTGGGACAGGCTCTGGGACGTGGACAGTCTCAGGGTGGGCAGACGGGACATGGAAAGTCTCTGGCTGGGCTAGCGGTGAAGGCCCGGCTATGCTGGATGGAACCATCGGTGAAGGCTCAGAAGGGCTGGACGGGACCAGCGGAGAAGGCTCTGGCTCGGCCGGCGTGACGCGAAGCTCCGGCTCGGCAGGCGTGCAGGTAAGCTCAGGCTCGGCAGGCGTGCAGGGAAGCTCCGGCTCGGCAGGCGTGCAGGGAAGCTCAGGCTCGGCAGGCGTGCAGGGAAGCTCAGGCTCGGCAGGCGTGCAGGGAAGCTCAGGCTCGGCAGGCGTGCAGGGAAGCTCAGGCTCGGCAGGCGTGCAGGGAAGCTCAGGCTCGGCAGGCGTGCAGGGAAGCTCAGGCTCGGCAGGCGTGCAGGGAAGCTCAGGCTCGGCAGGCGTGCAGGGAAGCTCAGGCTCGGCAGGCGTGCAGGGAAGCTCAGGCTCGGCAGGCGTGCAGGGAAGCTCAGGCTCGGCAGGCGTGCAGGGAAGCTCAGGCTCGGCAGGCGTGCAGGGAAGCTCAGGCTCGGCAGGCGTGCAGGGAAGCTCAGGCTCGGCAGGCGTGCAG